GTCAATCAAATGATGTCTTAGTAAGAAATCGATTCCTAAAAATTTATTATGAACGGCATTCTTACAGCATCTGATCACTAAACAAATATAACGCGGATGTGCATTCATGATGAGCACCTGGTTGTCAGCAATTTTAAGTAATGATCTTGCTGTGAAATCTACCAGTTCGCCTCAATTATTTAGCTACCGGCTTTCAAAACCCCCTACACTTGTTTCATTCCATCAAAACTTTGCTGTGGTATATCTCACTCCTCAAAAATAGATAAGTATGACTAACATATGACTTAATGAATCAGCGTTTCAAAGTATATATAAGATATTTAGTCAATACTCTGGATTCGTATAGTGTTTCCGCGTTAGCAGTAAACGTACGGTCAATCATCCGGTGGTCGTATGTACAGTTTTCAGTATATCTAGTTTATCAACATCGTTATATTACTAGTTGACTACTCAAATCAATACAGGTAAAGCCAGTTACTGAAGTGCGACTTTTATTAATAGTTTTATAGAGATTTTCAACTATCATTCTTAAATACAATCAGTCATCCTTATCGTTTCCAGTAGCTTACGCCTTAAACCTTGACTAAAGCTGAGGAACTTATTTTGAGTGGTTAAAAATTTTTTCCTTGATGGATATCTTAGCTAAACATCACTGCTGTCAAATGGTTTGATTTAAAACATTTCATTCATTTTCGAAGATGACTTAGTATCTCTCAATTTCCTCATCCACCCATGTTTATGTAGATATGTATTGTACAGTGTCTCCAATATTAGTTCATTAGTTATTGTGTACAAATCAACTGTATCCTCTTCCCTTAAATGTAATGTAAATCAGATGAAATGAACAACCTCGTATATGCGTATGGGTATTTTCGTGCCATCAGTCAAATTGGTCTCCAAATGTAAAACTACCCAATTTATAGCCATTTCGTTGCTTTGCGGACCCATCAGAGCTAGTAATATTTCGAAGATTAACAACTAGTCAGTAGGTTCAGCTGTCCTACTTAATCTAGAGATTCATACTGTTGTATTCACGTCATTTAAAGAATATCTAAGAAAAAGACCCCTCATTAGTTATTCAAAAAACTAGGATGATCTTTTCAGTGGAATGTAAAAGTATATGGTGTGGCGAAATAATCTTAAAATTAACGTCCTAATTCCATAAACTAGTAAACGATCTATGCTTATTTTTGTTTTGAGTGGTATTTAGTCGTGCTTACTTATTGATTATTCTGTAATTTTATTGTTTAACAGGACTCTCCCTGTTGATCAGCTATTCTATACTTTGATCCTGTTCACTGGGACCACACTAAGTCAAAAAAATGATCTCGATTCGCATCACATAAGTTCTGTATTTTCATTGTTTGTCCAGGTGGAATATTTTCAGATACCAGACGAGTTGTATGTAATAACGCTAGTCCCATCTACTTCTCTTTTTTCGATAGTCATTTCTAATGTATACTGAAACCATTTGTGCTTGTCAATTCTCATGATCCCACGTTTGTAACATCTATACGCCAATGCCCCATAATTCAGATTTTTTCGCTTATTTTCAGCTCTTTGGCCTAAAAATATTGACTTTAAATATAGACAGTATCTACCCTCATCATTTGAATCAAATCTGCGTCAACGCAACAGCGTTAAAGTAAAACGATTGTCTGCTACTAATGGAAATGTATCTGATATTCAACCTTCCGGGTCCATAATTGCTCGAAATTTAATAGATGCTGGTCGCACTATGTTTTCTAAGGTACGCTGGTAAAAAATAGACGACTAAAATTTTCATTTAACAAAAATATTGGATTTTGTTGACAATTAGACAAAACCAGACTTTAAAGCAATTAGTCCCTTTTATAAATTTCGATAGAACAATGAGAAGACGGAGTTGATCTGAATTGCCCTGACAAAAACCAGGCTTGTTCGGAAATAAGTGAAATATTTATGGAGATGGTTAACAACTGATGTGCACTACAGCTGCTTAGATATAAAGTAAGAAACTTAAATAGAGCAGTGATCAGAACACAAGTCTAAAACTTTATTTCGTCAAATCTTAAGTGTTGGTGCCAAAGTTCAATATACGTGGCTGAAGTAACGTTACACCGTTTTGTCTACGTATTAAACATCAAGCGATTACAGTTATAGATCATTTGTAGTTTTAAAAGTCTTCCATCATTGTGGTCTAATATTTACCTAGAATATTCTGTAAGTCAGTATCAAGAAAGCTTATTTCTTTTTCTCAGATTTCAACTGGTTTCATAGTCTTCTATGAATTTAGCTAGATCATGAGCAGTAATTGTAGGAAAGCCTAACTGATTACAAGACGTTTTCAGTTGGATGTAGTAGAAGTCCGCTCTAATCTAATAAAAACAGTGCCTTCTAGCTTGTTTATTCCATTGCGTCGCCTTATTTTACATATACGTATCCTGTTGTCTATTAACTATGATATATCTTATTTTTATTCTTTTCAAGTTATACACACGATTGTCTCGAACACAACTGTTCAGTATTTTATCTTCAGAAATACCCTATGCTTCGACAGCACACCTTTTCTCAACTGCTACAGATATTGAACATGCAGACGACTTGGACATCAATAAACCGCTAGCACGAACAAGTGGTCAAGTTATTATCTGGGCAACAGAAATCTTAGCCTGTTTGACACTGGCTGCTTACAATGAAGACCAATTTGGATCGGTTCAGCAGTCTCTTGGGCGGATCTTACTGCTTTTTGCGGATGGATTAGAGGTAATTTTGTGGCCTTTGATAATTCTAACCGCTTCCTAAATTCAGTTGCATAAATCGAACTGATTGTCGCCTTAAAAAAATTGATAAGAACGAATGGTTTGATCCAAATTGGATGCAAAATACTCATTGAAGACATGATGTAAAAATTATATTCAAAATCATCTCAGTAATTGAGATTAGAATAGCTTCAACTTTTTGCACGGCAGACTAATTCAAGCTTCACTAAAGAAATATTTCGACTTATTATCTCTCTGAATTCGCTCGAATCGGTTTGCTAGGAACAACGTTAAAATTTAGAGCGCAGAAAAAATACTTTGGTCCGACATCAAAAGTGATGGTTTCTTCTCCACCCCCTAAAGGATGACATTTGTTGATTATATACTTTGTAATTAGTTACCAAAACGTATATACATTTAGTACTATAGGAATAACGCCTATCTCACAGCTATTATCAAGGAAAAGCTTTTGTCATAAAAATCTCGTTAATCAAGAAACTGACGTTAATCTTATTGCTAAGCAATCGTAATCCAGCTCAATACGTAATTAATGGTCTTTGTACTGTTGTGTGAATCAAATGTATCATATGATGGGAAATAATACTACCTTGTTAACCGAAATTCGCCTTATGAAGAGTTCAAGCTGATGTCCTGTAAAACGGTACCCATGAGAATTAATTTTAGGTGTTTTAATACTTTCTCAAAACACGTGGATGGCTTAAACACATTTGTTACTTGGTAATCATCTTAACCACTTCTTCATACTGCATTGTTCCGTTTTTTAAGGCAGTTGAAAAGCATTTGAGGTCTGTTGGTTTGCTCTCCACTCAGTACAAACAGTCAGTAAACTGTTCAGTTCCTGACAGCTCATATACAAGTACGATGTCATCCGCTGGACATCTTCAAACTCCATTAAGAAGTTCGAAGCAACATTCAGGCAATTCATTCCTTTCAAATGATTTATGTAAATTAACGTATTATCGTTTTGCATCCGATGCCAGTCTACCGTGGCGTGTTTATGCAACGTTTTGTTGGGCTCTAACAAACTGTCTAAGTCAATATGACGGCTGTTTTGCGTAAGTTACACTATTTTATTATGAAATCGCTCCCTCCTTATGCATAAAAGTAAACAGACTATTTTGCTGATCGATTTATATAAAATAGCAAACTTATGCATTGATAAATTTTACATTAATGAAGCGACCTGTTATTGAAATTAATAACTTCAAGTGGTGTTTGTCAGGGTTACCCGATTTTCCATGTTTATTTGTCTTTGTCATAGATATTCGTTAAGAGATAACGCTCATCGGCCCTCATCAGCACCTGAACCATTAATAAGGAGTGGAATAGTCGAGTGTGTCGACTAATTCACTCATGAAGTCTCGTTACAAATTAAGAAAGCCTGCTTGGATTTTGCGAAATCCCATCACTTGTGGCGTAGAGCAGATATCTATCTGCCAACCAAACCACGAGCTTACTGTGCAGCAATTCGTTTCGTTCTACTTCAAGGGTGTGCAAGTCATTAAGATTAAAGGGAAGTCGTAGGTTACTAGTATTCGATCGTAGGTGCCTTCGAAGCATTGCTCATTTATCTTGGTATTACCGGGTAAGCAATGTTTGGGGTTAGGAGTCAAGTATCAGTTAAGGATGGCCAATCGGTACCAGTCCATGAAGCCATCGAAGATTTAACTGAGTCATGATATCAAGTATAAACTACCAGGATGGTCCGTGTGATTATAGCAACCGGTGATTAAAGACTTCAAATGACGTCTCAAAATCGTTTGTAATGCCGCAGATCCACCCACTCTTTGTCTTACAACAACTTGTAAGCTGTATATATACAACGATAAAACCATATTCCTATCAGAATAATTAGTAAAATTAAAGTCTAACAAGACTACCAGAATCAACTTGTAGAAATGGATTCTGTACACCGACATTTGTCGTTGCTCTCCGCTAAAAACATCGGATCATTCACTTTGTGCATGCGTAACACAAAGATGCACTAAATATATTCGATTTGTGTGAGGGCTGGAATACTGTACAACAGCTAAAGTTGCCAAAGGTAAAAACCCCAGAGGTACAACCAAGTTGATTTTGGACTTGAATTGGAGTTCATGTTTCACGATCACAATTAGTACATTTTTCTTATTGATGATAAAGCTGGTTGGGACTACGTTGAAGAGACCAAGGACAAACATTTAAACAGAATAACTTAAATTAAGTCCTCGAAACTCAAAATAGTTAGAACTACGTGTACGATTGGTACTATTTATTACTTATAGTTTAATTCAATTGTTATCAATATTAATATCTATTGTTGTCTTTTAGAACCTTATCCCTCGACAATAAATCAAAGGAAAGATTACAACTACTGAAAGCATCTTGTTGTACAATGAAAGAAAACCTAAGTTAATGTACATTTTCATTATATTTTTTATGATACAGATTTACATGCATTTAGTTTTAAAACTGCCAAAAGATGTTAAATAAAAATATGTAGTACCGCAGAATCCTTTGAGTACTATACGAACAGAAAAGTAGTTTTACGAAGACACGTTATGGGATTTCAAGTTGTTTTGGTGGCCTTTGTTTAGCGTTACCTTTAACCTTATCAGCAATCCACTTGATACTGCTGTTTATTCCCTCCCTATGAAAGTGTAAACATCAAAATGTAGAGACAGCGTTAATATGTTAAAAGACGTCATACAACTAATTGGTCGATTGGTAGAAACTTGGTAACAAGAAATGATTGCTTTTATTATTTTGGACGACACATAACAAGACCACGCTAATAGACTGGCGTTCATCAGTCTAGTTACTTTCTTTGGTTAGTTAAAGTAGCGCTTGATGTAGATATCCAGGAAGTTTCAAGCATGGAATACCAGAGCACTCTATTTTTCGTCGTTTTCTCTCTAACCTCTTAGATTGCTAATATACTTTTCCTGGTTTCTAAGGCTAAAATCATCGATCTCTAGCTCTATGCAATTACAATGTCATTCCTCAAATTTTCATCGATTCTTAAAAGAGAACATGGTTCCCACTAGTACTTTTTTACGGGGTGTTACTGTATGCACTTCAAAATGCCGAGATAAATTGCACCGTCTCAACATATTATGCCTTACTAAAAGTTGCTTATCATTCTACTCACTGATGATGCTAGGAGACCTAACCTTTTAGTTTTTGGGCCAGGAAACCATCAACTGTTCCTACTTAGAACTCGAAAACAATATTGGATATTATCAACAGCATTAAACCCCTTGAACACTACATTTCGAAACAACTAATGAATAAAAACAGGTGACTGCACTAGAAAACAATCTAATTCTGAGCGAAGCCATCTGTCTTCGGCTTTTGTCTACACTTTCCTTAGCTAGATAGTCTGAATTTATCAACACAACTTAGTTTAACAGTCAATAAGTTCATGAACAGACCCCATATCTTGGTTCAATCTCTTCATATACTCAGCTAATTTCTACCACTGTGCTTCGAGGTAAGCATACAGAGCAGATATCCGAGTCACTTCAGTTGATGATCTGCATTTTCATCAACCGGCTTTACTAACAAAAGGGTAAGTATACTTCTTATCTTTAATGGAATTTGGGGGGTATGTAAATGGTCACTGACTTTGAAAGCAGTGCTTCAACATCCATTTAATTAGTAATTGGAGGTGAAAAATGTATTTCGATACACTGATCAATATATTTCTCGTGATATCCCAATGAATAGGAAATTGTACTTCTGACATTTCACAACTTAATGTAAGCCACTTTCCGAGTAAACGAAAAGTTCCCACTATTAATTTCCAATAAAGTGCTCAATTTGCTAGAAACCATTAAGTCCAACCTTGGCATTGGTATTTAGATATGCTTTATCATCCTCATAATATATTCAACACTTAAAAGTGAAGAAGTTACTAGTAGTGTTATGGAAGAATCTTTTTCTCTGAAGTATATCTTTGCATGCTCGTTATTGAGACACTATATGTGTTGTGCGTTTTATCGAACAAAACAAGTTTAAAGGTCAAATGCGCTCAAGATGTTTCCTCTTGACAGTGCACAACATACCCATATGTTATAAAACATTAACCAACCTGAGAAATAACACTAGGTCGACTGAAATGTTTATATCTAGAAATCATCAACATGTTAACGATTAATTTACCCGTTAAGTGCACTGACACCATGAAATGTGCATTGACGTTGCCCAACAAGATGTAGACTGTCGTAGAAAACTTTGTTTATTTCAGACAAATGGAACGCACTCTAAAAAAATGTGAATTAGGCACAAGAACATAGTGTAGGTGCTTGTCAACTGAATTGTAGGCTCGTTTCGATACATTTGATACAATTCCGGACTTTATTATTTCTATCTTCGGTCACAATTCCCTATGTTTTTGAGAACAAATATGTGGGTCAGAAAGTGGCAGGTTTAACTAAAATACAACGGTAGTCACCAAAATATTGTCAGAGGTAACATGTAGTAGTGCGATTCGTTGAGGACTTCGACTACACCATGACAGCTCAGTATTCACTGACCACTGTGAGAACGATGAGACGTAAAATAGAGAGCTTTGTAGAAGATTACGAGATTATGACTTGTAGAAAATCACAACGGAAATCCATATTACCGCTACACACTTGAGTTCATTAAACAACTGAAAGGAAAAGTGACAGGAAGCCCTGACAAGAGCTTCAGCATCAGAAATGAGTTGGAAACTTCATTATGAAGCAGTCCTCAAACCAACGTTTCTGCAACTGTTCATACGAGAGGTAGACAATTAAGGACTTGTCTAGAGATACCTTGATGTTCGCTCGTAAGATTGAGGAGCCATGGTGGTTACTTTGAAAGACTTCCTGACTATTCAAAATGTTACGACCCTTCATTAGTTTTCTTATATGTGTATTCGCCATTTAAAAATTCTTAACCTTTTAAGGAAATCTAAATTAATTGCGAATACTTAGTATATAACAATTTCCAAAACCAATCATCTATCCATCTATGATTGTGTCAATGCAGGAGGAAATTAGACTAATCTTTTGTATTACCCTGTGTTTATATTAGATCTAAACGAACTGAACAAGAAAACTTCAAAGACAATTGGGTAGTCATCTATCGTTTTGTTAATGTCTCTTAATCTACTGATAAGTGATGTCGCGAAGGGCTAATATACAATCGTTCCAGGCCTTCACTGCGTTTTGCTTAAAATACCAACCACGTTACTGCCCTAGGCATCAGTCTTTTCGACATGATATTAGGGTAACTAAATAAGTATATTTATATTAAATTTTTTACGACAGGTTCTGTGATATTCAACAACTCCAACTATGGTGTATAGTGGAGAGATCCGTGCATGCATACATTGACACAGATGCGTTACAAAGGATCAGTTTTGTCAAAGTTGTGGAGGTACGAATCGGTACATGAGTTGAATCCGTCACAAAAGTAGAATAACATAGTTAATTTTCTTACCTGCATATCTTGCTTGTTAGCTAGAACCAGTAACGGCACACCTTCCAGTAAAGGGTTTCTTATCATCTTATCTAACACTAATAATTACAAGAGGCACTTACCAAATGCATCTTTAGATTCGTCAAAACGATCGCTATCTGCAGAATCAATGACATAAATAACACCGTTTGATTCAGCATAGTACTAAATAAAACTGAGAAATGCATATTAAGCTAACTTTATCCCACAAGGATTGAAGCTCTTCTTGACCGCCGAGATCCCAAAATTTAAGCCGGATCCCATCAACCTCAATGTATCCAACTTAAAATTATGGAAAAACGGGAAACTTACTATTCAGACCAACAGTAGTAGTGATTTTCTGAATTGGGATAGATTTATAATTCGGAACAAAATTTATTTTAGCCTGTTCTAAATAAGTCTAGACTTGTCAATCATATGTAACCAAAACTACTGTTTTTCCAGCGCCATCCAAACCTAGTATGAGAACAGAAAACTCATCCCTTTGTGATATATATTGCCACAAACCCCGCAGTAATGTGTACATCACTAGTGTGAGACCCGAATGGTGGTTAGTACCAATTAACTTTCTAGGTTGTCCTAAAAAGTGAGGGGGTTGGCTGTAACACTTTACCTAAATCATTTTAACAAAAAGGAACAAAAGGACACCAGCATAATACTTGTATTGGTTAATATACAGGCTTTTGGTTATTTTGTTTCCTTGAATAACTCAGCATGTGAGGAATTCTCCATATATTGAAGGAACTTACTAAACCATCTACTAAACCGTTAGTGTCCAACACTATGTACAACCTGTATAATCTTACTAAGTTGGTGGTAATATGACAATTGTTTAATGGACATTTTTAAGAGATACGTATAGTTGAGAAGTGTGTAGTAATAGACGGAAATGCAACCTTGTTAACAAATAGTCAAATAAATATATAGTGATCACACAGTGTTTTTGTATCACTTAAATTTTACAGATCAAATAGTATCTTAGCAGGAAAAAAAAACAACTTTAAGAGGAAATGTAGTGCTTTGATACTGCTTCAACTGCAGTGCACGGTGCGAAATGAGCCGTAAAAAACACAAACGCGCATAACCGACAGTCCCCAGGAAAGTGTGTGAAAGGATACTTGGAACATGAATCTACCAATGAATTAATTTACTCAACAGTCAATTACGTATTCAAACATTTCGAAGCGCATCACAATTCTAAAACCCAGTGCAAAAGATGATTCGGATGACCTGACTACAACTTTTCGTTAGTGCACACTGTAGTGATAAAAGGATTTGCATATCAATACACTGATCACACATAAGAGTATTAATAAATTTATAATACGGCGATATTCAATTTTGCAACTTCATCAAATGCTTGGAATCCATATTGGGACTAATTCCTTCATGAGATGAGGATATTGTTTTAGCTTGATAAAAAGTTAACTAGCAACAAACAATTAAACACCACCGACTGAACTAAAGAATAACTGTCCCTCAAAACTCGTACCCTGACTATATTTATATCATATGCGTCACCGAATTCCAATGTTCAATGACCGCACCACGTTCAAATGATTCTAGACTAAACAGAAGAAGCTTTCGTTTAACGGGCTTCAGTACATGGAAGCAGTGGATCACCGGTGCCTCCAGTTTGGAATATAGCCATATTAAACGATAAAGTAGAAAAATAGTAAATTGAAGCGAGATTCTATCCTTAGCCCTTAAGAATATGTCAAGTTTCCTCTCAAAGGGAATCGCTTGAACTAGTTCAGACGGCAGCGAATTCCAGCATTTGACAACTTTAGAGGAGTAGAATTTATGTCTACAGTCCGTTCTGCTGTGCTGTATCTCTAATTTCTGAATGTTACCCCTTAGGTATGTATTGGGACTAAGTTGATGTAGGTGTTTAAGGGGATGTCCAGAAGTGTTAAGGATACTATAAGCCATTAGAAAGTAACCTTCAAGACGCATGTTTTCGAATGAGTAAGTGCTTAGTGATTGGAAGAGTTCTTCATCAAACCTGAATTTGAGTCCCTGAACGAATTTTCTAGCTCGCGGTTAGTTAAGTTTCAGTGTGTCCTAATCCTTTTGGAGTGAGAATGTAAACTTTGTGTTTCCGTACTCCAAATGAGGTTAAGTAAACCTGTTGAAGATTATGTAGAAAGTTCTTTCGGTGAACGGTCCATAAGTGCATTTCAATTTTACCAGTGCAATGTTTGCTTGGAATGCATTTTCCTCTCAGCGCAAGACATCAGGTCGTAGAGTATCAACTCTTCTGGATCTTTTTCAACTTGGGATACCTCTAGAGGGGAGTCACTTAAGTTGTATTCGCAGTCTGCAACATGTTTCGGATGGACTAATTTACAATTTGAAGTGTTGGAAGGAAGCACCTTGTTGTCCACTCACCACTGAAGTCGAATTGGATTCTTGTGCAGTTAAATAATTCCAGAAAGAAACGTAGATGCAGGATATTATGTATTCATCATATTTCATGGTTTCTCACCAGCTGCTTACAACCAAATTTATGTTAAATTTGACTTTAGATTAAGATATAGTGGGGAACAATTAACATCGAAACACTGTCTGAGTATTTATATCAACAGTTGTCAGACCCAAAACCCATGAGAGTCGAAAAACAAAGTACCTTGAAATTGAAATATGTGGACAATACAAATCTGTATGTTACGACATCAGTCCCACATTCTAAGCTGTTAAATTAAAGGTCAATCGCAAGCATTGAGAAACTATTATGAAAAGCAAATCAATATCGGTATTTCTTATATACATGAGTTACGGTGGAGTCATCCTAAACAGAGATGAGTGCACTGGTAACGTGATATTCATAAACTCGAGCGCTGGCTTACAAGGTGGTTTGAACCAGGCCGTAAAATCTAGCAGCCTATAGTTTGAAGGGCAGTTTTAAATTTGTAAAAAGCATGACAGCCTTAGTGCTTCCGATAAATTCATGGTCTCGTTTGATGTCTCATCACTCTTCATAAGTATCCCTACGGAAGAAACGGCAGATGTCATATGTAAATATTCTGAACGTCTGTCTTTGCCAATCCACGAATTTAAAAAGCTGCTGTTTCTGTGTACCGAAAACATACAATTTTAATTTATCAATATGTTTTACCGCCGAATCTATGCGGTAACCATGAGTAGCAATTTGGTTCTAATTCTGACCGATATATTTATGGGATACCTGGAACAGAGAGAGCTCAAGCACGTAATTGATGGAACTACATTTAACAGCAGATATATTAATGACAAGTTTCTCGTCTATCGCAATCCTGAGCATTCAATGAACATATACAATCTGCTTAACAAAACACACGAGGTAAATGATTCTAACATGGAACATCGAAGTATGAGTTATACTCCACTTCTAAGATTTCGGAATCAGACGAACATCAAACGTAACATTACAAAGACACATCCATAGCAAAAATACATGAATTGGAGTTTATCTCAATTGCAACAGTTTCTGCCAAAGTATGTACATTGGAAAAACCGTGAAAATATTATATGTTCGCATTACAAGCATGTTCCAAAGAAATTAAAACTGTGAGCGACAAGGCCTCTCAACAGTACAATAGCTCGGCATTCATGTGACCTTAGACGTACCACTGACGTTCCTAAAGCTTTCAAAACTACTAGCATTCTCTTGCACCAAAAGCGCGAGAATATACAAGCAACCTACGGTCATCAAAAACCACACTTTCTTCTTCGAAATGGTAATAACACCGCATACAGGCAATTTAATAAATGTAACGGACATGTGCATAAAGACAAGTTTCAGCACCAGATATAGCTTATCGAAAAATTAGTAACTAAGGCGATAATTCGAATGCTTAAATAACTCTGTTGCTTCAAAATGTAAATATATAAATTAATCGATTGGTTATGAAATCAGTGTGAGAAGATCGAATTGTAAGGTTAAAAGGAGAAACACGGATGATAGTAAGTGAATTAGGATGTAGTTACTGACATTCAGTGATGATAAGAATAGGTAAGTCATGAGATGTGCATCATGCACTGCCGGACCAAACGGAGAATGACAAACCATGGTTGACTAGGTGTTTATCGAGTCTCCTTTCAGGGAAATTTACTAAGGAGACGGTGGTCTCCGACTGGAAGTGTATTCGAATTGAGGACAACTCTTGATCAGAAAAAGTGGGAGTGTATCTAATTTTTTCTCTTTTATATGCGACTGTTTGGGGGTTAGCTTGAAGCGCGTAGTAGTTATTTTCTGGTGGAGTGGTTGTGTTGTGATGAACTGGCGTACTTATTATGTTATATGTCATATCACCTTTTGTTCTGCTGTAGATCAGTGAGAATAATCTCAAGTGTTGGAGCATGTCGTTGTCGAAATTATGTTTCAAACTTATCGTCCACTTAGTTATCTATGTACCTAGTCTAGATGATTAATATCCCTTTCGTAAACGGTTGGTGCAACGACATTTTGGACTTCAAGGTGGGGTCATGCGTGCGTCTCAAAGTGTTAGGATCAAATATGAGGTGGTTGTGTCATGTTATCTACGTATGAATTGGAGAGTTGCGTTTGATATGACTGCGTCGCCTATATAGTTTGAACTGTTGTCTAAGCTCTTCGTGGTTAAAAGTCCGAGATCACATCCCTGGGAGATAGTCTGCAGAAGATTACCGTAGAGGGTGTGGGTGGTTTGTGTCGTATGAGGCAGGACGTTTGTGATATGACAGTTCGATATGTTAAGTTTCAACCAAGTGTCTACAACTGCATTTAACATTTAACAGTAAAAATATCGTAGTCCCTGTTGCTATACATAACCTAATTCATGAAATTGATGAATATATTTACCAACTTGGTCAATAAACTGACTCGTAATTATAATGAACTAGTGTTGTTTTCTCGTGCTTATGTTTATCTATAATAGATGACTTCAGTGTGTTTCTTTATCAGGTGCTCATTTAGTGAACATCTTATAAAATTGTCAGTTTAATGGAGGTTTGTTGACATAACCATGCATGCAGATCATCGGTGTAAGGGGTCAAGTGAATCTCCTGAAAACCTAAAATATCGCTATCAAATATACCCAATCACGAACAGAGGTTCAAGCCCTTACCATAGACATGAGTTGGGAGTTGTAATCTCTTCGGTTATCACGTGTGCTGTTGCTGATAATCACATAAGCAGCACCACCTGTTTATCACCTTGTAAAAATTGGAAAGAAAGCATCGTACAACACCATATCACCTACATTTGTGTCACATAAGCTCAGTTGATTTCAACACCTCATAATCACTCAAATTCATACAAATCAATTTTTATGCGGTCTCAAACTTGAAACTTCCAACTGACGTATGCGCACCATTAACCAATATGCATGAATTTCAAAAGTCGATATTGTTGCACATTTGAACATTGAGTCCAGAGCATGTCTCTTGCGATTACACTTATTTTCAACGAACTACCGCCAGTTTTATGTCCGAAATTCACATAATTAACATTACTTTTACGTATAAAGTAAACGGTTGATAACAGTTCACACTAGTTTTATTACTAAATACAATAACAATGTCGACAAAATCCTCCTGTATCTAAATAAATTGTATTAAACTTAACAAAACAACTGGAATATTAGTTAGAAGTCTTCCTTTCTGCGGTCATACTGTTGTTTCTTTAGCTAACCTGCTAATGTGAAAAATGAAGCCGAAAATCAACTCATACGGACAGCCTGCCAACATAAAAGTTAACTGATGTTCTAAGTTAAAGGAGAGGTAATACCACGATCAAAATTTATACAATACTGATCTTTTTCTTTTCCTATGCACCTAATACCTATACTGCTCTAAAGCTAAGCTATTAGCCAGAGGTTACAGCTATTCATCTTATTATGACTTAGTAGTAAATTATCTATATACTAAATCTTTCCTCATCATTGAAATCTCACATTTTCTAACCCTTAATTTATATTCACGTATATTTCCATTTTGTGCGTATTCAGGATTAAACCAAACATTTTGGAATTATTACACGTATTTCCCGATCAGATGATGCCGCCATCTTTTTGATTTTTGTTTCAATTTATTAATACTTGGAAGATCCTCATTATTGTTTCTTAACCTCCGGCGCGCAACAATCTCAACTGACTTGTGGTCGAAAAAACGTGATGTTGATCGTGGTAGGAAATCTATGTAATGATTTCAATCTGTGAAATTTCTAAAACCCATTCTGATAATAATAATCACCTGCTCACTAGTGACTGACTTCAGGAGACACTTCTGGACTTCTAGTGAGAAGTCGTTATCAGTGGAGTTCAACCAGGTCTGTTGTGAGATAGGAACAATGGTGTACGGTAGCGCAACTTCGTGGATTGTTTGAAGTTAGACATTAAGTGCTCGCGCACGAAGCCAGTAGGTCCTGGGTTCGAGCCCCGGGAGGTGCGGGGTCGTGGATGCGCACTGCTGAGGAGTCCCATACTAGGACGAAACGGCCGTCCAGTGCTTCCAGGTTTTCAATGGTGGTCTAGCTTCAACTGACTCATGATTCGAATCTGTGAAATCTATGTAATGTTGCTTATTCCCAACCACACGGTCCTCAAAGCTGAACATAAGATCACACCAAATATTCACATCCAACATGGATCACTTAGAGAGGATCAAAAATGATGAACGTAAGAAAATTGGTCGAAATGTCATGGCGTAGTCTTGCAGATGTGATGATTCTGTGTAACTCAAGCCTTTACAATTAAAATACATTATTTCATCCTCAGCCGAAAACATATTCTTCAAAAGAACCAAATATCATATCGATGATTGTCATTGTAGGACGACTTAACATACATTATGATGTGTCATCCACGTAACGTGGTCACATAATAGCAAATCCATGATTTTGAGATCATGTCTATCATTATAATTACAAAAATAAATCTACTAATACCAACGTCTACCATAATTCTACAGGTAGACGACCAGAAGAAGAAAATCAATTTTGATGTCAGCACATTTTGACATGACGATACGTTTTATTTTGCAAACTCAGGAATACAGAGGAACAAAGTAACTCCCAGCCAACATCGTTGTGGTAACCTAGTGTAGACCGATTGATTTTTCTGTGCTAGCTCATCTATGGCAATACTTGAGAACGAGTTCAGCGACATTAAAAAATGTTCGATGGTCTACCGAAGGAACCTTTATTATAATTTTTTTCATTTGAGACTGTCATGTTTTGTTTTAATTTGTTTTCTTGCTAGGTCATAATTTGGGATTGCACTTTCACACGGTTTTAAATACCATAGCATTTAAGTGCAATACGTTTGTCCTGGAAAATGCAGTGTAAATTATGTGAGTTACTTTGTGTATAAGTTATCTGGTTTTTATAACAAGTTGTTGAAATTGCCACACTTTGGAAATAACGAGATCTGACTGTTTATGGGAATAAGTGTTAGCATTCGGTGATTCACAGCCCTTGAGTTTACAGTCATATATCCAATTATGAATTACTGTTTTTGCCTGGAATAACGGCCAACTGCCTACATCATCGGGAATAGGTGTTTCTTTGTCGGTAATTCTTAGATGCACTGTTGTGTGATATCAATATTTCTTATAAGTAACCTGCCACACTCTAATTCATCTTATTTAATCTTTGTTTGTTTGTTGTTTCATGTATTCATCTATCTGGTTTAAATAGCTTGTTTGCATCGAACTCTTGTCATCTACTTGCTATATGCTACAGTCGTGCGTTTTTTAGATTACAACTATCCAATCCTTTGCATGAGGACATAATAGCCGCTAGTCCCAACAACCCCTCTACATCAAAGTAAGTGCACTTGCTTACATTCAAAGTCTATCAGCCCTCAAGTCACGTTTGCATTCAACAAGAGTAATGCAATCGAGTGTTTAGATCCTTCGCTGGTTGTCACTAAAGATCTGAATCTATACCTTCACATACAAACGCTGTCATAAAGGGGCAATTGGTTTACTTCAGCTTTTTACAGATACGCTAGACACCAAACATTCATAGTTGCCATTTTTGTCAGTCGGTGTGAAGTGGGAATATGTCATAAATCCTTTACACTTACTCTATACTTAGAGGAGTTTATGTCGCATCTTACTAGTATGTTATCAGAGTTTACTCATTTCAACTAGAGCTGTAACAGAAAAAATTAAATCTATTCCTAAAAGTCTCCGTTTTGAGTGTTTAATGTGAAACTTTTGCGAACAAGGTTATTTTATACGTAACATTATTGAGGTACAGGGCGTGTTGTTTTGTGTATTTTGAAATGATGTGCAACATCTTTTAGCTCGAGTTAGTGATATCCTGTTGAGCAACTGGACGATCGTATTGCTGTGAGGTGTCTGCATTTACTTCTGTTCGTTCAGTTGAATTCGATTAGTAGTTGTTTGTTGGTATATTTTAAAAAGATGTTTCAGGATAATAAAATATCTAGAAACAGCTACAACTATGATACCAAGTCATTTTGTCCTCCACACTGCTCACAGTAAGGGTGGAGGAAATGAGGAAAATAGCTAAAGATATAGGATAGTCTGAATTTAAATGATAATGAAAATGTAAATAAAAAAATAAGAAGAGGAAAAGTGGCATTAGCATAGGGACGAGAAAACCTGTGGGGATAATTCCATGTAGTCCTATTCACTTATTCATTGTTCCAGTTGAAGAAGAGTAGTCTATGTATATGCACGTAATTGTGTAACTTTCTTGAAGCAATGCTCCGAGAGTTATGTGGCTACTTTAGTCGGGGAGCGTGGCGTTCCAAAGAGCACAGGTTTGAAATATGAAAACTCATACCGTCAACTAGCTTGTTTAGTAACTTATTTAGTGTATGTTTCATCGTATATTTGTTCACATCTGATAGAATTCTTTTTATCTCGGTAAGACCCCGTCAGATGACAATATGATTACCTTTGGGATATGTGGCATACATGACAATACAGACGATTCGTAGACAAAATTGTTAAAATGAAATACCTATTCAACAAGCTCAGTATTCTTATCTCTCTCAGGTTTGAATCGGAAGTTTAATTAGCTATGTGTTACAACCATCATATGAAGAAGGTCAACAGATTGGACGATTAAACTTTATTTTCATTTTGTAATTCACTGTGTTCTCCAAATTAACTTGACTAGTCGAAACATCATGCTAAAATATTCTGATATCATAATTGATTGGCTTCTTCTTGTGGTATACCTCCTCAGATCTTATGCGCAGCTTTGACTAAGTTCACTTAAGAGTTAGTTAGCTGTAATTTACCTATATTTAAAGAAATACAACTGTTTTATTGATGCCAAAAAATATTTACCACACATATGAAATGATAATTTGTTGAGGAATAAAGAAGAAAAGGGTAGTACAGTCGATAAATAAGTGGACAACAATAATATGTGGTAAGCAATACACTTTAGCAATTAATAAGGCCAAGGAAAACTCACTTTAATACGAGCAAATTACTTCGACAAAAGCTACATCAGGATCCATATTGGCTTCTAGTTTGAGTCACGCAACCATCCATGTGACACCTTTACCAAATGCTTCAGTTGGTTTACTACACAGTCGGCGTAAAAACAGCATCCTGGCATTTTTGCAGGAGCATTTTGTATTTCGTATGTGTGAAAAGCATATTATTCCCGCGGACACTAATTATTAAATGGGTGGGAAGGATTTCAATAACCTGGTTTTCATCTTACAGTAAAGTAATGTCATCCGCGTGCTTAAGATAAAAATGTCTTCATATAGGGATCTAAAAGTATCATTAAACTTTGGATTAAGTGATCTTTTAGGAGTTCTAAGATGTTTTCGGAAATAAATTGTTTCTAAATAGGTTGCGTTGTTAAACGACAAGCGATTTGACTCACCATTTCCATACTGTATTATCGGTAACAAAAATCATTTGTGGTAAAGTTCTTTGATAATAACCCCAGACGAGTTATCTGATTCGCCTAAAATAAAAAGCAACTAAAAAAGAATATTACTGAAGTTGATAATTTTCAGTACACTTTGAGCGTCTAATCCTATATATTGTTTACAGACATTTTTCTTTTGAAATGTGACGGTAAAGCTTCCTATTTTAATTGAGACATCACTGATTGCTGACGTTCTATGAATCAAGGTAATCCACAACGTTCAATGTTAATTAGCAAAATGTTGAATAACTTTTTTGGATTCATAGTTTTAAGAGAAGCCGAATTATGGTTATACTAACTATAGTAAGAATAGTATGTTTTCGGCTAATGCTTTTATCTAGTTAACAAGTGAAAATCATTTAAAGACTGGGGGTAAAACGTTGCATATATTTTCCCATATTTAACAAAACTTAGTGATGTTGGAGGAATTAAACGTCTAATGTTTGCTCAAAACTCATTTTATTTTTCAATGAACACAATAACAAGGCCCTAGTTGTATTCGTAATGTTGGCTGATAAGGTTCTGCCCACCGAAATTTTGTATGAGGACAATTTGCTTCCCTGATAAATGACTTAAAATAACATTTAAGACATTCCTTTGTATTTAACCTTAACGTTCAATGAGAGCTATTTCTACATACGAACTGCTTACGCAACAAAATTTATTTACCATAAATCATTTCTCATCAAACTTTGAGACATGCTTTATGTATTTCAACGAGTGATACCGTCCGATCGGTGGGACTCAAGTACGTAGATGTGAGTTCGAACCTGCAAGTCGACGGTTGAGAAATTATTCCATTGTACCACAACTCTTATCCAGGAGTAGTTGGGTCATTTTAAATGTGAATTTATTTTCCAAATGTTTATAGTATGGATGTGGTTAATGAGGGTTTATATAGTTTGTCAAAATCCTTATGCTCTTACAGCGGTTGTAGTTTATTATGATTTTTCAACATCATTATCTGTTGAAGTACCTTGGAAATTACTGCATGTACAGATTACTTGGCCTCCAATTTATCACATTTTAAGCAACTAATAGTAAATGACTAATCTTTTTTCACACTTTCCTATGTACACAATAATGCGTCTTAACATAAGAATAAAATTGCAAACAATGCTTGTTTAAAGCTAAATATGTGAGAGTGATTTGAAAAATGCAATCTGAAAACAGAATACTGTAGCTAAAGTTAAACTGTGTCGACCCTTTTCAATGAAGTTTGTCTATTGATATTTGATCACAGTCTGTAAACAGAACATATTCGTAGTTACGAATTCGCAACTATTTGAGTGTGATACTTATGGAAATTCGGAAATATATTGTATTAAGTTTTATGAACCACACTAAGATGCGTTTATGATTGGACATGTAGCTTAGCAACAATAGTAATATTCATAATAATTGCTTTTTTAAATACTGCAGAGTATTTAATTCGCCATTGCGAGGAAGCTCTAAAGACTATCAGTGGTGGTGCAAACAAACTGTGTACACTGCCTCAGGGTCTTAATACTACATGTCTGTTGGGCCAAAGTTTGACTAATTGAGCAGTAATAGTCTGCAGAAAACTGCCGTTTTATTTATGCAATAAATTTTGTCTTCCACTTTTCATCTTTTTGGGTTATTTTCATTAAACGATTGCAGAGGAGTTCTAATTTAATTCAAATTGATTTTATTATGGTAATATTCTTAGATGATATTTACTGAATTACTTCCTCCAACAGTGGTTCTTTTAAATCCATGATGAGTTTTTAATAACCAAGCGTATTTTCCCTGAGCCCTCATATATGTAGAAAATAATAAATTCTGTCCTATTTCAACAATCTTGTATACCGTGATAAACTATTCTCGAATTTGTGGAGAAAGCAGATGATTAGTTATGAGTATATTGTTCCATAACTTCTTTAGATGTAATATTACGGAACAGTTATTTGAACTCTTATTAGAATTTGTTATTGAATTTTAGGTGTTCAATCAGATTATCCTCATCTTTACTGCAAAGTACACAAACCAAACGTTTCAGAACCATATGTATCTCCACATGTAAACAGACAGTCAATCATAATTGATTCCAAGGTTTGTCTTTGTCCACAACATGGAATGTCAATAAATTAAATATGATTTTTTGAGCAATATTTTTTGTGTCTGAACGTGATTGATGTCTGATATGATCTAGCTTTAATTCATCAAGTATAGGTTTATTTGCTTTACCTTGAGTCACTCCGTGTGAGTGCTAGTGGCACTCATCGTCTGCTTCGTTGGCCATATTATTGGTCACATTAGTGTTTAATATTGTTGAGAAAAGCAACGGTTTTTTCTCTTGATTTTAAGAGGTAGTCAAATACCTTGCATTTCATTTATAGGAACAGAAGTAGTGTATCATTCATGTCTCCAAATGAACAAATTCAAAATGAATAGATTACACTCTGAGTTATAGGTCACTTATTGAAAGTCAGAGACCACTGCTGGTCTAAATATTTACTAGTCACAACCAAACTATTAGTTGTCATTTTCTTTGTTTAACTAGACTTATTAACAGTTAACCTGTGATCAGTGCCGCAACATTGTTCAGTAGCCATCAGCTTGCTAAAGTTAAATTCTACCACAACATTGTTAGTTTCCTCACTTCAGTACTGTTATACAGTTGTAATTAAAATGTATTATGACAACCGGATTCACTCCATTATCAGTCGAAATTGCAAGAAGTATCTGTAAGTCACAAGCAACAATATGTAGAAACTTATCTTTGTATTTTTTACAACGACAATTCTGATACTAGACTAAGGATAGCTTTGGAATAAGACAGAAATTTATGACTTTTTTAGTTCAAGAACTCCACGCTTACTTCAATCACAAGGTGGAATGTTGCAAGCGACATACTTCATATTTGTGGTTCACAAGATATTTACAGTTAATGGCGCGACCTTGGGTTGAAGGTCAATAGTGGTCGACGAAATGTTATCACAGATTTAAAAATTTACTCAACCTTTGTTAGTCTGTGCCATCAATGTTGTAGTCATAATATCTGTCTACATATCGAAGAGCGAGTAAAGTGTACAACAGCTCAATATGTTTTACTTCATATCAGTAGATTGTGATATTTGAGGCTTAATGGTTCGCTTAGAGTTTTGGGACTTAATCACAGCGTTGGCTATGTATTGTGAATAATATCAATCATGGTTTAGGGTAGGGTGGTAGATTGGAAAATTCAGTTGGTTGATCAACCTGTAAACCCTCAATAATCTAAGTTGTTAGAATTCATCTTCAGCATACCCGACCATCACCGACCCTGAATTACTTTTCCACCTGGGATAATAGTAGAATAGAAATAGGCAGGGTAAAAACGAGGATAACAATAATGCATAGAGTCATTTGTCATTGGATTAATAGGTGTTGAAAGGAACAAACTTCCTAGGTAATCACCTCGAGATAATCTTAACCATTGATTATGGACTCTACCATTGAAATTATTGTGTCTAATTTCTTCTGCTTGGTTTCTTTCTGTATCATTATGAAGAATGGAGACATGGTCTTATGGATATCTTTTCCAAGTCCTGCGTTGTTTATGATTCCCTGCATAATAACTGTTCAGGATTCAGTGCAGAATTTCTGCTGACTTCCGAAGAGGTTCCTCTGGAAATTTATTTGGCAAATTTGAATTGGTGATGAGGACCTGGTAGTTACGGTTCTACACTGAGGAACAGTCTAATAATATAAATTTATTGGCAGACGGTTTTATGCATTTCCATTTCTTTCATTAAAAGTGGGATCTTGTTTGTCTTTTAAGAAACAATAGACATTCATAAATGGGATTATTCGTTTTGATACATAAATAGGAATCTAAAAATTTAATTAATTGAACTAGCAATTTCCGGACAGATTATTTTCGTCAGACATTTGTTATGCTTATTAAAATGGGATAAAATATCATTTTCTAAGTATAGGGCTATGAAAATTATCTATCCATTAACTTGTTTTGTAGGGAGGTAGATTCATTCGTTCAACACAATTTTTAATCTAGTAGGATGGTATGAGTCCTATTCCTGTGATGGAGGGCAAAAGAATAAAGTTCGTGTGTAAATTTTATTTGGTTCATGGCTATACCATTGATATACTGGTTGGGCCTGTCTACTGTAACTAGCCTATCGATCTGTATTGGGTGAAACACTTGTTATTCGACGTTTTAAAAGTTTTATTTTCACATCCTTTTTGTCTGAATGGTCTCATTATATCGTCTGTAATTGTGATTCTGGGTTATATTGAATCAAATTTCCGATAGGATATAAGATTTATTGAGTTTTCGAGTGTTCCTATTGGGAACTTTCAAGCTGAAACTCGGTTGATTGTAAATAAAGCTAACACCTTCGCGTTTACATGATCAATGCATATTGATGATCTAACTGCTTTTGATTTAATGAATCAAAAAATATATGGTGGAAATTTCCTTACATCAAAAAGAATTAATGAGTGTTCGATCTATTATTTTCTAGACAGGGGCTCGTAAATCCCCTTTCACAACTCGGCTTACTCTAAAGTTTTCTGACGTACGCACTATGAAGAATTTGTTTGAAAAAGGTTTGGAGACTTCACGTAAGTTTTTTATTGGAAACGAGGTTTATTAACAATCTACCAAAAACTCAATATTTTCAAAATATTTTGTTTGTTTTATATGCAATCAATATTTATGATCTCTTTTATTTTCTTTAGTTATCTTATACGAAAACAAACTGTTCATAAACGTTTCCTGAACAGCTAAGTGAGAAGACTAGAAACGACTGAAAAGCTGTAATTGGGAAACAAAAACAGGTGTACACAAATCTTTGGTATATATATCTCCTAGACCTAGACAATAACATATAAGCTCAGACCTTGAAAATATACATTATAGGCTCCATTCAATAGCATGCCCTATCTGTCACCTAGCTTTTGGCATAAAGGTGGCATTTGAACACAGGCATGTGATTTGTGAGAATTCACCCAGCCTATCACTCCACCATCTTGAAACATAAGTCCCCCTTTTCGAATTCAGTTGCCTGAGTTGATGTGCATGTATGTCGAATTCCCATCTCACAAATGTCTCTTTTCGCCATACTCCCAATCCAGAGTATGTGAAACATTGTGAAACAGATATTTTTCTGGTTTCAATAACAGCTTCACATAATCTGCATTAGAAAACATTTTGTTACCCGAATATTTAGCCTAATAAATTAAATGTAATATTTAACTGCTAGCAAGTAATTGGTAGAAGCAGTAGACCCATTGTGAAAGCTTCCTATGATTTTTCAATTCGATAATTTTTCACTTGGAATGTGATACAAAATGATTTATCGGAAATGTAATATTGTTTCATATACCTTGATGCTGCCGGCCACTTGATCATTTTTGCTGAACAATGAATGAGGTTTCTCCTTGTGATATGTAGTTAGATTTCGTCGTCAAAATCTTTTTTTTTATTTGCTGCGCTTAGCACTCCAGTTTTTATATACGTCTGATTTCATTCCTCCATTATTTTAAATAGGCTTTCAACCCTGTTTGGGACGACGTTCTAGTCCAAATGAAAAATATACTTGGTTAACGTATATAGAAGTAAGATATACTAAAAAAGCTAATATTTTGTCGGCATAGGTAGATGATAAAATACAGGCATTTGGATCAGCTTTAGTGAAAGTTGCTTCTCATATTCCATGGAGTGATAATTGTGTTGGTATTTTTGGTCGGAATTCACCCGAGGCAAGTTGATATTTTTCACTTTTTACACTTTCGTGTATATATGTCTACATAATTTAATAGCGAGTATTTAAATAAGGTTTTGAAGTAGAGTGTTTGCTGAGTCTCCTATAGTAGATCAAACGCTTAACTTAACCACCGATATTTATAAATTGCGACATGGTGTGGAGTATTTTCACACAACCCAGCTTTGAGTACGCACCTGTTGAGTAACGGATTGATGGACACTGGTAACACACCACACATTTCAGAATACTTTTTTAATGACTAATTCTCTATTCACAACATCTCAAAGACATTCTCTTCATAGTCACATCTTAGGTAGGTACCTTGAAAGGTTTCATTGCTCTTCTCAATTCAAAAAGTAAATTGAAATATTATATTTGTTTTAATTTCATACAGAATTTTTGTAGTATTTCGAGTTATATGTCTATAAGCAGTTGAAGTATGACCTTATTGTTAACACTGGATTCTATGTAAGCCATCACAATAGTTTTAATACAATATTTTTCTAGTTATTTTAGTAATTTATATTAAGACAAATATAAATCTGTTACAACTATAAGCCTTTTCACAACGTGTTAATAGCAAATTTTATATTTATTTCACCTGTTAAATTGTTTCAACTTCAGTCATTTATTTTGACACCAATCATGAGTTTTTTGGAATGACTATTTATCAAAAACCTTCCAATAAAATATACTTTATGTAGTATTTAGTTTGAATTTTATCTTATTTTTACAGTGGTTTATTGCGCAGCACGCCTGTGCAGCTTATGGGTTCCCAATAGTTCCTATCTATGCAACTTTAGGTGATGAAGCCATGCAACATATCCTTAAGCTAAGTAAGACATCTGTCAGCTATTTTATATTACTTTTATTCTCTCTACTAATCGGATATACTAACATCCTTCTGGGAGTATCAAAAACTATTTCAAAATACGAAATTTATTATCGTTAATGAATTGTGTTTAAAATATCACAATATCAAGAACACAATCCCATTATTTCATTCACCTACATAATGTATAAGCCTGTATGAAATTAAATATCTTTCTTTTTATTGAAATGAGTAATAAGTTTAGTATGCGCCTTAGTTCTTACGTATCAAAAATATGTGAGTTGTAAACTTTCAGTTCGTATTTATACCGTTCCTAACTGTATAATTTGTATGTAAATAGTACTTGTGAATTACATTAGTCAGTTGAATTCGACTACTAAACAAACGATTATGTCGATTATCAGACGGGTACCACTTGGTCTACAACATGAAAATTGCGCTGGGAGTATTTTAGATTGACTTTAAGACAACTGGGTTTTTATTCATGAAGTTCATTTTTAACTTCTATTTATCAATTGAGCAACTTGGATAAGAGCCTCAGAAGTGATATTACGATTTTTGAAATCACAGATAATCGTCCCTAATGTTCGCAGTAAGCTGACTTTTAACTTTATTAATAAAACTTTTAGCATGAGATTTTTGATATTTATGTTGTATACGTACGCAGTTTTAAAATATATCCTTGTTAGATTGCTTTTCATCGTTAACCAAATAGCACGTTGAAGATAATCGCATTCATTCTTGGTAATCACTTTTAGACTTCGATATGTCAACTTTCTGCAAACTTTCATTAACAAACTACGTTTTGGAATGTATTTTTTATAATTCAATGGAATAGAACGAGCTCTGAAGAATCCTTTTATTTCTTTGAGGCACACCAGCCTGCACATTGGTTTTTAAGAAAGTTTAGATAAGAACCAAGAGACCTGTTAGTTGGAGTTTGCTAATGAGTTGAAATCAGATGCATCTGGTAACCACCAAAAGCTATTTCAACTCAGCCAAGCCACTGGCAGCAAGGGATCTGATGTCAGTGAAATAATCTCTCAAATTGATGACACACCATTTAGTAGTCTCTAAAAGTGCTTCGAGCACTGTATGGAGGACTCCGTGGGACAGTTCAGTTAGTTTGTTGCTACAAAAGTTTCGGTCGAACTGTCCTGTGCTCCTGACCTAATGGCTGCTGGTCTTGGTGATATACTCTCATGTCTTTTTATGAATGTTAACGAATTTCTGGTCAGAGAACTGATTAAGTTGTTTTGAAGATTTTGAGGAATTGAGTGCTCCATCACCTTTGGATTAAGCGATCGTCATATCTATTTTTTTTAAAAGACCTAAGTATGTTATGCTACAAATATCAGCCGGTAACTCTACTTCAGACTGCTACTGATTTACCACCTTCCCTCATACTTTTCAGATTGTGGTAAGCTCACGTAGGAATGAATTGCGAGGATCAAGCTATTTTTCTTTGTGGTCGTAGACTAATTGACGTCTCCACCATCGAATAAGTGTTAGAGCGACGTCACATTTATTCCAGTTCAATTATCGTTACTTTTGATTTGTTTGACACGATTGTACTTTAAGACTCTTCAAGTACGATGTGAATGAGAAATTTATTCACACTCAAGGCTATGTACGAGTACACTTCAGGCAGAGTGTGAACAATAACCATCTGTCTCCATTTTTCCAGTACGATATTAGGTGGAATGGTTTCCCAATCTCACCATGGGGTGAATTCTTACATTTCTCTTCTTAACTTCAGTCAAAAATCAATTGTTTCTAGAATTAATGTCATATCTCGGTTTTAGTATTATGAAGATATTTTGAACCTACTTGTATCTCATTCTTTATTGTTTATCGGTATAAGATTTTAACTCAACGCATTTTTCAATGTTGTTACTTGAAATAGAGATGTTTTTGTTGATTAAAATATTCCGTTACTAATAAATATTAATCTCAACATCCGTTTTTCACTCATTTTTCTTATGAATTCTTTACAGCTGAACTACGTGTTGTTGTGTGTGACTCGGGTGAAGAAGTATGCCGTGTCTTAGAACAATCATTGTCCTTCATCAATTTAGTAATTGTAGTAAACGATGGTCCTAAAGTCGCAGAAGCCAAGGTTCGGTTTTCATCAAATGTGAAAATCTATTTATTTGATGAATTTTTAGTAAGTGTTTCTATGAATTTCTATCATATGAAAATTTCATCACAGAAAAAACTTGATTTTATGCTATGAATTTCAGTTGACCAATACCATGATATTTCGCATAGATTTAGTGGAAAAGAACCAATAAAATTTCTGGAAAGCACTTGTTAGATTAGAATTTATCTCGATAAAACCTGTCGCTAATTTTTGCATAATTGTAAGTGCTCTTAGACTCCTTTATTTATTCCTTCCTAAAGATTGGCTCAAATAACCTGATGAATGTAGGTAATCGATTTAAATTTCTATTTGAATACAATTTTTCATAACTATATCTCCAATAAATATTGATACATTTATCATTATAACTCTAATCTTAAAGTTTGATTTGTCTGTAATGGTTACCCTTTAACATAATTTTCATTGATGAAAATTTATTCTGTAAATTCAATCTCCTTTTTCTGTTTATAACTACATTCATTTTAAATGAATGTGCTATTGAATTCTTCCGTTGGTTCTTGGTAACATTTTTACTTTTTATTTATTCAGAGGGCAATGTTCTCTACGTTATGTTGTTTTATATTCTGTATTTTATCTTCAAGTTCAAATTGTAACTAGTATCTTTACCTGTTTTCTTCCGGAAAACCCCCCAGCTTTTTCACTTGCCTGAAAACTGAAATACGATCCCAAAATTTGTCGAATACTCTGCTTTCCAAACTTCACCAAATTATTGAACACTATTTAAAATAGAATAAACATCTAATATATATCGCTCCTGTATTTATATACTTCATCGGGTTAGTGAACACACAAAAACATCAAGCGCATTAGAAACTCTTGGACTGAACGCTTACATCAACGAAACCTTACGGAGGATCATAAAACTATTTCACTCCTGTTCAAAACTTTTTCGACAGTGCACACTCACGTTCCCACGATAAGAATTTCATAGATTTTACTGTATATTTAGGCCATAAAGTTCAAATGCCACAGACATTCTCTATTTCAGTCATTTTAAGACATCTCGGCCATCATCTGATGCTACCATTAAGTTACTACGTTATTTCCGAAAGGAGTAAACTATTTATTCAATGATTTTTAAAGCCTTAATGTTACTTAGTCACAGTTGATCTTCATAATTTATATGTAAACATGTTGTTTTAAGCCTGGTTATTAGTGTTCTTTGCTTTAAATAGAACAATTTTCCCGACAGTGTATTAAGAAGTTGCTTATTAAGACAATTTAAAAAATATCTAACAAGCAACGTGAGACTTTGAACTTTTCTCTTATTGGCAGTATAAACTTGATGCTTATATTTAGTATCAGTTTACTAAACGGAATAATAAAGTTTTAATATTGGTTATGTTGGGAAAATAATAACACGTTTAGTTTGCCAAATATTATTATTGAGGTCAAATTTAGTAGTGTTAAATGCTTATCGTCCGTCTATTAAGTTCAACAATATGACCACTACTCCAGATCTCTATGTTTCCAGCATTGATATTAATGCGCAAAAATGTTGTTAACATAACTACCTGTCCAAATCGTTGCATAACCTATGTTATTTAGCACTTAAAGTGATACTCAATTTCTGAGAAAGGTAAGATAAGCATGATAATTTGCATTTGTTATACCACCTGTTTTTTCTTTATCTTTCAGGCTATTGGAATTAAATATCATATTCAAAAAACTGTAAGTTTCAGGTTTTTCCTGAAACCCTGCATTTTGTGTATCATTATTATATGAAAGTAAATTACTTAATTAACGGGTGTTAGAGATGGTTGGAAGAGAATTAGGGGCGGCCAAACCAAAACGTGGCATCAGTGCTTGAAGACACTAACCTCTAGTCTGAGCCACGCTGGTAGATGCAGACTACTTGGTTGGGGTCCGCGTGACTTTCGTAACCGATGGTTGGAGACTCTTGGTGATATGGCTCAGAATCGATCATAATGGCGTCGGTGCATACACTCCCTGTCTTCCCTTAAATTAAGAGATTAAAATCGCTTCATATCTTACTTTCTACTAACTAATTATATATTCCGGTACTGTATCCTTATATGCAATCTTTCTCCTATATATTACCACCTTTAACCTAACCACTCCCATGAATCCGGTGTTCATCTTGCTGTGCTAACGAGGTATGGCAACCTGGACCGATGCATATATGTGCCTGGTCCTACGTTGTAGCTGACTGAGTGACTGAAATTACTTAATTTTGACGAATTTGAAAATTTAATAAAATCAAAATCTCTTGTTGGGTGAGTAGAAGTTTGAGGTCTGTAAAGAGGTTTTTCTCGATTGTTGAAAATTCACGGTTATGCTGCTTTTTCAATCCATAAAGAGTCGAATATGAGAACTTGCAATTTTACTTTGCCTACTACCTTCCTTTAATAGAGTTCAGTTAGGTTTTTCCTAAAACTACTTGTTGCATAAATCGGAATTAATGTTTTCTTTTGAATATGTCATTATACAGTCTTAAAACACCATCCACTTCATCAAATTACAAATCAATGAATAAAAGTCTTTTATACTTCAATAATAATTTAAGAAACATCGGAATTCATTTATTATGAATATACATTTTTTGATAATTCAAACGTGATTCCATCGATATCTGGCCACTGTATAGTCTTAAAAACAAATAACAAGAGTAGTGTTAACAAAAAATGTATGAGCTAAACTGATGAAATATAAAAATGCTAAGGTGGACTGTCTACATTTCTGAGACACGTCAATTTAACCATCCAAAAACATTTAGCTCGAATGTGTCACTTTTGCAAATGATCAGTTATTAGTTAGAGTAACCTGAGTTACAGTCACTTTTATAGATAATTAGTTGATAAATGACATTAGAATACACCTTTAATCTTAATATGGCGTTGGTCGCGTGCAATATATTACAGCATTTAATAATAGACAAACAGACAGTTAATAAATGTTATTCTATACGATTGTTATATGTCAAGTGTAAATTAACTTTTTAATTTTTAACTTTGTTTAGGATCCTAAACCAGATGATTTATATATGATTTGCTTTACCAGTGGAAGCACAGGTAGTTTCATAGTTACTTTCTCGTTTTATTTCATTTCGTTATGATTTATTAAGTTTCTTGTAGTTTTTATGGACAGACAATTTCCTGTTCATCTATGAAAATCGTTCTTGAAACAAAATACTGACTTCCATTCTTGTTTGCTCGAGATAATCGAAAATTATGTAGCCGTTTTGCAACGATCTAGTGATTGAAACGCTAGGATAGGTTGGAACTTTATCTTTTTTATTACTCCCGATAAACGGACTCTGACCAGTTAGCTTTTACCGAAAATAGGATGACTCTGGAGCTGTATGAAGTAATTTTGTTTCACAAACTATGTTGAATGTAAAGTTTGTGGTTAGTTAGTTCCTTTGGTTCTTGGTGTCTGATAAATATCCCCTGATCTCTGATTTCTCATACATTATGTGTAGGTTTACCAAAAGGTGTTATGATCGAACAACAACAAATTGTCGATGCAGTTTTTGGAATCATTGAAAATACTGAAGAGAAGGTTAGTGAATTGATTGTACATTTTCGGTTATTCTATTACGTTATCGATTGTTTATTCTCAGAACAATTATTTACAGTGACTGACTTAAATCTTGGCAATCACGTCTAACCACATGACCTCATAACTCCTTTTTACTCACATCAATGTTAGGGATTATGACTGACTGATTTATTGTTACAGCGTGAAATTCACTAGATTTAACCAGTTTTGTGTGCTTTTTGCCAATGAATAATCCATTCTTCTACACTTATAATTTTTTGATAGTGGAACAAATACTATTGATTGTATGGGTTGTTTTATAGAGCAAAACTTTTAATTCAAGTCATCTGTGGATGAAAAAGGTATATTGTCGTGCCATACATACATATGTTTGCGGTATTCTGTTTTGTTATATGTATATTATATCTGCATTCATTCAAGATAATTTTTGCATTCTTTACGTGTAAAACATTTTTGGCACTGGGGTGAAGATTTAAGTTAAAAGAAAAAAGTCGCCGAATTGACATGAGTTATTTTTCGGTAACAACGTTTACTATTCAATCTAATTGTTATTAGGGTTTCAGCTCAATCATCCTCGCAAATAACAGTCTGTCTATTGGAGCCAATGTAAATTGTCTAAATGAGTATTAATTTTAGTGTAAGTCATTTGTCAGTTATAGATATATGTATTCAGACCAAATTTGTATGTGAAAAATAATGATTTTTGATTGTCTTAATTGGGAAAAATCGATCAATGTTTGCTATATTCCGGAATTAACAGGATGTATATCGAATGCTTACTGTACAACTGGTTATGGGCAGTCAATCCGTCAGCTACAACTCAGGACCAGGAAAATATATGCATTGATCCAAGTTATCATATCTCATTAACACAACAAAATGAACGCCAAATTCATAGAAGCAGTTATTTCAGTGGTAGTAAAAAAATTTCATGTATGGATATGATACAAGGATAAAAAATTAGTTCGCAGAAAGAAAGGTGTAAAGTAATTATAATCTCACGCTTTAAGGGGAAACAAAGAGTGTATACACCTACTTCATTGTGATCGATTCTGAGTCATGTCATCCAGGGTCCCCACACGTTATGATAGTTGTGCGGCCCCCAACCAAGTAGTCTGTATCTACCAACATGGCTCAGATCAGAAGTTAGTTATAGTCAATAAGACGTGAGTAATCAAAACTTCAACCTCTTCATAACACCCCACTTGATATGAAGAAAATGTCACTGTACTGTAATGAAAGGTTTTAATAGTTTTTTTACGTCACTTTAAAAAAATTAAAAATAGGTATATTATTATTCAGAATCGCGCTGTTTTCGTTTGAATCGTAGTGATGTTTTTTGTATGGAATTTACCGTATTTTCATTTACTTTCATTTTTGTTTCTTTAGTGCTGCAATAAATTATCAACCCATCTTTCATATTTGCCATTTGCTCATATCATGGAGCAAGTAAACTCTGTGAGTTTATCATAACTTGTATGTTCTTACTTATGCTTGCAAATCAATGTTCATTATGAATTTTATTGTATCCTTTATTTTTTATGCACAAACCGATTTAAGTATCAAAAGTTGCTTAGACAATCAAGATAAATTCGCGACAGTTGCAGTGCAAGATGCTCCTATGTATCTATGTATTTCTTAAGCAAAGATTTTTACGTCCAGTCATGTCTCTGTTTACAATTATAAGCAATATCGAGTACAGTATATAGTATTCATAGATCACTGCGTATTTATTCATGCCTATGATTTATCCAGTTTATGCTTTCTTACTTGATTTAATTTTATTTCTTTTTCGAGTATGCTTTTCCTATATATTTTTCGTTTCTGGCTTCCACAAGATTTAAAGTATTTCCGTGACTTCATGAACATTCGTTAGTTTTTCTGAAGTATCAACGGTATTGAATAGAGAATTTATGATGGAGGGGAAGTGGCTAGTAGGACCTAAATTTTCATTCTTTGTTTCTGAAGTGGGGTATTGTGTGATCTCAGTGAATAGTACATGTGCTTCCGGATTGTTTTCGTAATTTAGGGTTACGTCCGTGCGAATCGAGTTTTCCGTAAACTCTTGCCATCTATTTACTTGTGTTTAGGCTTTTAAAGATTGGAGTATTTTCAGGTAAAACTTTATTATCTGATCTGTCTTGTTTCACAGTTAGGATAATAAGATTTTGGTATACTATACCGTATTTACTTTTTCAGTTCATTCTCCTTAGTGATAACAAATCTTATTATGATTACCAGCAGATTGGAGACGCAACTATCCATCCTATTAATTCAGCTCTACCATTCGATGAAAAATATACGAGATCTAACATATTGTGGTGTTCAGAATAATAGTCATTGTTTTTGTTTAGTTTTCGGATATGGTGTATTTGACCGATTTTCTAAATATTATGTTCTATTACTTATAAATGATTTTATCACATCCTTAAAATTTTTTCAAACGACTTAAGGAGTGGCGTAATTCTGTTCAAATTGTACTTTATAGTCTGCGGAAAGCAATACTATAACCTCGACTTTCCATGGCATTAAGCAGTTTTGACCTGGTCTTCCTTTGATAATTTTATTAAGAGCTCTATTGGTCTGAACATTTATTTTTCGTATTTGGGTACTCCATTGTTGCTGAACACTACTTTTGAGTAAACACGTGGTTTTCTCAAAGTGATCTTTGTTCCTAACCCATGTTTTGCAACTGCTACAGTGAACTCAGAATAGGTATACTTTATTTCTCGTTCTGTTTAAGGTATTTTGTCCCCCTTACATTGGAGCAGAAGCACGATAATTTGATTAACTTATTATTAAGTTGTCATCTCTAACATACATTTTTAGTGGTTATCCAAAGATAGCGAATATTTTCGTTTCTGAAACACTTTATTACACTGTAGTTCAAACCAACTTGCATAATCATCTGTTTGACAAAATCATCATACAACTTACCTTTTTCTTCCTCAAATATTTGCTCTGAAATCTTGGCTAAACTCTGAAAAAATACATTTTTTGCTATCAGCTATCAGTGTTTATAAACGTTCTGATATAACCATGAAACTTTGGTATTTTTGAGTCTAGTAGTAGACTTGAGCAATATTCACATGTACCTTTTTGATCCCTTTTAACCATTTGATCCTAAACTGATCGTTTGTACTTGATATTATTATCCTGATTTTAATTCTTTGAAACGATATAGGCATTTATTAGGAATCTGAAATCACTGTTGTATAACATTTCTATATACTTAGTAATATAAACCAATAGAATTAATTTTGATATCACCGTATCCTTTAGCTTGTGTAAACTTAAAGATACGTGATCTCGCTAGACATTCCAATTTTTTGCTTGCTTCAGTGTATTGAATTTCAATGTCATTGAGCAACGAGTTGTTATAAACATTAGACTATCACTTTCCACATCTACAAATACAAACGTTGAGCTCGATTCAGTTTTACGTTTATAGGTACAATCGTAATCTAATTAATAATAAGCAAAATTCTAAAAGGTCTCATGAGTGTTGTGTCGTTCCTTTAATAATACTGCCATGTTAACAAAAATACATTCTAAAAATTTAACTGAACGTAATTTTGAGTAGCACAAATCGCTCTTTAGTGTACAATCGTTATGATAAATATAAGAAATGTGAGCAACTTGGAAATTGGAGATGTAACATGCAGTTTAATGAAAGACTTAAAATCATAATAAACGCCACTGTCTTTAGAAATGACTATATTTAGCAATTTCTTTTCGGATAATTGCATAATTAAGCTTTTTATCCGATGGCTTTGATAAATATCATCATTCAAATACTGAACATCTTACTTTTTTAAATGTATATATATAACCCGTTTATTTATTGCATTCAGTTCTTCTGATTTGTAGGTGTCAGCTACTGTTTTATGCGAAACGATTCTTTAAAACTATGTTCATGTGACTTAATTCTTCAGGTTTATAACAACAAATAATCAACTATACAAGTTGATGAAAGCAGTTGGTAAGATCAATGAATAGAAACGACTAAAATCATTTGTTTAGAAAATCTGCAACTTCACATTGTATGAGCGTAATTAGCAACTTGCTGTATTATATTTTTTTAAAAAGGCTGGCTGTCGATATACAAACAAGGATTGCTTTTCTTCGACTATCGGTTTCCAACCCTTTTTTTAGTTAACATAGTTGAGTGTAGTTACTAACCACTACTTTTATATTCTCCACACTGGACGGATGAACGAAAAGAACATTAATGTAAATTTTCATTTTCACACGTGGAAACAGGAGAAATAGCGAAAAGCAACAAATTAAAACTACATAACTGCCGTCATTAATTACAATAATGATAATAATCGGTAATAATAAGTTACACACTGTGTATAGTACGAAAAAGAATGCATTCATCTGCACGTAGGTTCTTACAACTATGATATGGGTTAGACAAACGAGAAACCCAGAATTTATAGACACGGTTGGACATAAACTTTCAGATTCTAATAGAATAAACCATGCATAGGACTGTAATTGACTCCCCTTTTCCTGGTAGCAAACATCTGACGTCAAGACTCGGGATTAAAATTTTTTGGATGACCAACTGCTTAAGTTTGGGCATCTCAAGGAAATCAAAACCACGAAAATATATGGCTTATAAGGAAAGATGTAAAACAAGCCATATGCATATAATTATTGGTGATTTTGCTCCAAATGCCTATTTAAATATCGGATTTGGCTAAAACAATTGTGTTTTTAAGGTTTGTTCCAAAGTAGCTTGTTTATCTATTGCTTCTGTTCAGCTTGTAATACTAATGCTGGATCCTGTTTTGAACAATTTACTAACAAAAATACATGGGAGATTACTCATGTAATAATATTCACAGAGTTGATACTAAGTTTAATTATGAGTTGTACAATATTTGACATAATTGATCTTGTTGTAGTCACGTTTGTGTAAAAGTATAACTCATTTTTTATATGCTTAATTAATGTTTTATAGTCTGTTGTCATTCTCGAAGGAGCTAAAATTGGATTCTTGACAAGTACTGTCGATGGACTATTTGCTGATTGTGAAAGTCTAAAGCCAACTGTATTAACTGCTGTTCCACGTGTTTTATCCCGTATTTATACCAAGTATTATGAAGCCATTGAAGGATCAGCTCTAAAGACTCGTTTGGTTAATCATGTAATAAAGCAAAAGCTTGGTGAACAAAAACGGTAAATACTCTCTTGTCATAAATTGTGCAGCGGTTAAAAAATATTAGTTGATATTAGTTTATGTTGCATAGTCGATATTATTGTAATAGTGAAAAACGTTTTCTATGATGCAAACCCATGCCAAAAGTTAGTCGAATTCTAATATGGTCGACTTTCAGATAATACAAGGCATATTAGCTGTCACTAACCTGAACCCAGGCATTGAGTCGAATAGCACATTTGATGTTAAACATGGGTATGACTTTGGACACTTCTGTTTCAAAACCTATGTAATGTACATATCAGTTGTTAGTAGATTTTTCACCCTATCACAAGCCAACTTTCTCATCATTATGTATTTACAAAAGTCTTCTAATCCTAATGATTTTTGTATTTGGTGAAACATGATCTATCTGTTAATTGAAACAACAGTTTAAATATTCCTAACGCTTAATATATCCATATCTAATAACTGTATCCCAAAATTTATATCCTTACGTACTGAGATATTTTGAGTATGTACTCTGGTAGTGCTGTTATGTACTTGCTTCAAAGTTCTTCGTTTACATCTTTGGTTTGTACTTTCAACAAGTATGACTTGAAGCCTTGTAGTCGAATCTACAATCTTTTTTTATTCTTTTGAGTTTTTTTATCCCGGAGTTGGCACTAAGTAAATTCATGAGATGCTAGTGACATTTGGGAGTCATATGAAAAGTGGATAGTTATTGAATAGATTCAGGTTCAAAAGAAGCCATCCTATGTAAGACACATACTTGTATCGCATTCGGTACAAGATACTATTGTCCTTAACGTTAATATCAATGGTTCAACTGATTACTCATATTCAAGTTTATCGCCACTGGTGAATATCAGGTGTCTCGATTCTTGGTTTAAATGTTTAGGAATGAATACTTTCATTGTATCGTGCTAGTAATAGCAAGCTTGTTCTATTAGTTTGATGAATCAACTAAAAGCTTGTGTTCAACGGAATACTTTGTAGTCGAATTGTTAAATACGATTGATTTTCTCATCTGCTAGTGATTTTTCATTTGTCTCCGTGGTTCAGTTTCGTATAAGAATCGCTAGCTCAATATTAACAATTTTCTTCAATTTTGTTAGCGGGACATAGGATGGATTAAAGCATGCTCAATGCATGATTGCTTTGGTGCACGCTGATTGGCTAATTCTTAACCAATCAGCACTAGTCGATAGTTGTAGAATACTCTAGAATCTTCTCATGTAAAGAACTATAAATATACTGACGTTTTTCCCTATTGTGCTTCCTACTGGCATCTTACTTCCATCTAACCTTGTTATTTGGAATATAATCTCTTTCCTGTTCAACCGTGTTCTGATTTGGGGACTTGTCGAGTGAATCGGTGTCCGAGAATACTAAGCAACAGGAATAGCTGGGTCATAATTGTAAGAAAGAGATCATAACAAATTTCTCTAATTTTCTATAGCTTTTTAAAGTGCAGGAACTTGAACACACTGATTTCTACCTTGATTTTTTTTATCTAATAATAGCACTTCAGTGTGGAATTTTTTGTGTTGATTATTATCTTGGTGAATAAAAGTGAGATTAAAAGATTCAATTTCTTCTTCATTAGGGGGAAATTTAATCATCAAAGTATTTTGGACACGCTTTGCTTCAAAAAACTTCATCAATCTCTTGGTGGACGTATTTGTGGAATAATAACAGGTGGTGCTCCTTTGATGCCCGAAATTACACAGTTTATGCGTGCTGTATTTAATGGACTTGTAAGCCGAAAACTGTATATGTAAATTCGTCCAAACTAGTATTGTTTTGGTATTTTTACATATGAAACAATTAATGGATTCCGAGTCGTGACAGTCTCTGCAAGATATATGTTTTCAAAGCTGCACACGCACTGCAGTCGCAATAACTATTTTCGATGTTCTGCATAATTTGTAGATGATCATTTAATGTAGTCCCTATAAATAATTAACTTCTTAATAGCCAATTTATCTGTTTGATTAATGAATTGGATCCAATAGACTTCACTTAAATTATTAACACCATAAATCTAGTCGATAAGCACTGGTTATTATTAGTAAACAATCCTTGCTTTTTAAAACTAGATATTTTATCGTCTTGCTTGTTATTCTCTGAAATCGCATCAGATCAGTAAGGTTGTATGTTAAACAGTATTTTGGTTAGTGTACCACCTGGAGTCGGCAAGTAAAAGTTCCATTACACGTTTCATTTTTGAGAAACGAAAAAATTCTTGAAAATGGCTGCGAAATGCTTACGAAATATGCGAAACTCAGTGTTGTCACAGTTCATAGGCATCAATATTTGATCAAATATTAATAACAGATTTCCTGATAGATGATGAGCGTCAGGTGATAAAACTTCGACAATTATAAGTTCCAAAGTAAATTTCTAAGTATAAACGTGTATTTCTTTATTACGTTCAGTTTTAAACCTTTCAACATCTTAGTACTTCAAGTTACTCTCATTATTTATCTCATTTTATCATCTTTTAATAGAACTAGTAAAGTAGATTAATTCTCATATTTGTAGTTATTAAGAGTTTATATTAAAAAATATGGTAACAAACTCTCATTATCAGTCCATTATTTAAGTGATAGCATATTTGGACTTATCCAGCATGTTATAAGGAATATATCACGGATTTTTCGTGATTGTCGAAAAAATATTTAACGGTGACAGTGCATTCATTTTAGCAGGTTTATATGGTAGATGAAACTATATATAAGGATCGTTGCATAAATAAAATTTATTAAATTTAACAAATATTTACCGAATTGTCATTTAGTATGTCATAGCTCATTTGATACGTTTTAATTTTTAATTCTTAATTACTTTAAAACTGGTCTTAAAAATATTTAGGTTGTCGAAGGCTTTGGTTGCACAGAGACTATGGGAGTTGTAACCGTATCTTTAGTCGGAGAATTTCGTGTTGGTGCTTTGGGTGCGGTTGCTTATGGTGTAGAAGTTAAATTGGCCGACGTATTAGATTTAGGTCTTGTTGTCAAAAGAGATAATCGAGGAGAGGTGAGCTTTTGTGTCTGTTGATAACTTAATTTCCTTTGTGGTACATTTTTTAATAAAGTAAACTTTCATTAAAAATGTATCTTTATATAGTTTAGTCATTTTGTATGTGCTGAAGTTTTTCACGATTTTCCATGAAATCCAAAGAAGTGTTACAACTTACTAAGTGTTTCATTCAGTCTATGAACGGATAATTATATCCTCTATGTTGAGTGGTTCAATTATGAATTGTCGAAATGAGGTCATTATATGAAGTTTGAAAATGTATTGACACTCCGACCAATGTACGTACTGAGATTTATAAAATTTGTACGTTCATTCCGCTTTAATTTCGGAAAACAGCACCATGAATCTTCCTTTTGAGGCAGTAGGATAAAAATTCTTGGTTGAGTGTCTGTGGTTAACATTCATCCTACGTGATCTACAACTTTATTTTGTTAGAATATGGTTATTCTGGCATTTAAATACTACATCCAAATTGAACTTTATTTGTAAAATGCAATGATATCTCCTTGATCAACATGTCATCTGTCTTTGTGTTTTGATTGTCTGTTAAAGTGTAACGTTTGTTGTTTTGTATGAAACTCTTGCTGTCATTCTCAGTTTTCAGTTATCATTTTCATTTGTTCTTTGTTCCCTAACTGAAAAACATTTACTGATATTTAGTTGATAGGTGTAATTAGTGTTCATATTGGAGCTTTGATTACAAATGTTACCAGTGTGTTTTATATATAAACAAAATTCAGGTTTTTTTTTGTAGATATGTGTGAGAGGTAAGCGATGCACCAAAGGTTACTACAAAGATCCTCAAAGTACAGCGCTGCTTATTGACTCAGACGGTTGGTTACATACTGGAGATATAGGAGAATGGACCCCAGTAAGGATATCATTTTTTTATTCTAGTAGTCATTTTAACTTCTGTATGACGTTTTTTCTTAGCATATCTATGAAAATGATCACTTGATTTTATGATTTCTCTTATTGCGACTCAGCTACTCTTATTGCTTAGTAATCTTGGACACCAATTCACTCGACAATTCTCCGAATCAGAACTTGGTTGAACAGGAACGTAATTATATTCCAAATAAAAATGTTGAATGGAAGTAAGAATCACAATCAGACAAAAGTTAGTATATTTGTAATTTTTACGTAAGAAGATTATAATCTTCTGCAAGTATCCACCAGCGCTGATTGGTTAGAAATAACCTATTTATATATCGCTAACACTCCGACAAATCAGATTTAGTAAAAATTCAGATGTATTCATCTTCATTTCAATTTATTCACCACTATTGAACGTCTACATGTCATTAAAATTTAATTGGACGGCCGATTCGTTATTCGACAACTAAAGCTGACAAATCGATTACCTTTTATGTTTGATCCTCACAAATCGATTAAATCATTGAAAACTAACTAACGACTGGATTACAGTTCAGTGGTTCAACACCATTATTTGTTGCTTTACGAAAAATGTCAATTAGTTCACAATATGATACTGTTTTTCTTGGAATCAATTGTTAATATGGTAATGCCAGAAATACTTAGCAACAAATATTTAAGCTTTTTAAAATTGTAGGCTAACAGAGTGTACTTTTGGAATGAATGAATATAATCTTATTAGATATCAGTTTGTTTAAGTAACAGTTATAAATAACAATATATATCTGGTTTGTCTCACGAAGTTGTGTTTATATGCACGAGGTTGTTTCGTGATGGTTACTGTGATGAATTACGTTCAGTAGTTGCTTATTCTACAGCAGCCAATTTTACAGTAAATGTAAAATTTATCTGAATGCAATCATCAATGAAGATTTTCTGCATTTTACTACTTGTGAAAATAGTTTTAGTAGTACTTGGATGTTACGTGATTTTGGTGTACTATTGATCAAATTAATTTCCATTTCTAAACTATAGCGAATTCGGTGAGACTATAATTTACGGACGAACCAATCAGACTTAAGATAGATGATCTTCGATTTTGGCTCGATATTCATTCACCCATTTGTCTAAATAGCGTTTTAGCATTATAGCTGATGTCAGTTAGTGATGAAAACCATAAATCTTATTTCTAACCCTAACCATCATTTGTAAATCATAATCCTTATTCTTCATACTGCTTCATAATCTTCATTTAGCCCTTTTAAGTAGGTGAACATTCTCAAGGTCACTTTAGTGTCGCTCAAAGGTCGCCCATAAATTATTGTCTTACCGCGATTTCTTCTGACGGAGTGTTCTAGAATCAGTTAATAATCTCTGACAATTTTATTACATACATAATAAAATGTTTATTTCAGATCGAATAATAGTGGATAATAATGATATGATGAAATAGGAATAGAACTTTTACTGTAGAATCTGACTGAATGATATTTTATTGTTCACCATTAGTTCCTAACTTATCACATTAAATCATTGTACTTCTATCTAATTTTAGAGATACGAATCTCCTGAAAGTTGATAAACCGATGTTTCACTGTTTTCGTTACTTATTTGGATATTAAATAAACCTGGCTTAAAAATTAGTTGAAATATTTTCTCAAATTCCTCATCGTCTCAAAAGCTCATCTGTTTTCCTTAATAATTTTTTATCTTTGTTTTGACGTTATTATCTTACAATAAAGCAGTGGTAAAAATCTTAGGCTGGTTATTACTTTGATCTCTTATAGTGAACTACACCTGGAGTCTCTGATTATTCATGTAATATACCAGTTAATAATGAAGTATAGTTAATTTTATGTAATAATGTACGTAACCTTATTTATCATTTAAGGATTTTCATATCTTATGAATAAATAAAATCGTCTACCAACTTTCATTGCCAACATTTTATAATTAACTTTTTTACTATAAATCATTTCGTTGGTTCATAAATGTTCTTCCATATGTTTAAAGTGTAGTCAAATGACAACTTAGACCACATAAATATGTAGTTTGCTTCATGACACATTCGACTGTAGTCACTAACAGTTTTTGTAATCGTAATCAAATTATGTTGCTAAAGACACTATGAATTTCATGTAATGTTTGGTATTTTATCCACTCTAGGAAGGTTCATTGATGTTGGTTGATCGTGTTAAAAGTATTTTCAAGTTGGCTCAAGGTGAATATGTAGCTCCAGAAAAACTGGAGGCACTTTATCAAACTTGTAGTCTAATTAATCAAATTTTTATTGATGCCAATCCTAAATCCATTTATCCTGTAGCTATAATCGTTCCAAACTTCAACGAATTACGTGAATCACTTAGCAAAACAGATCATGAATTGGTTAATTTATCCGATCATGATTTATGCCAACATGAATCTATCCATCGAAAATATCTAAATGTTTTGGATCAAATCGCCAACGAAAGATTTCTGAAAGGATTTGAAAAAGTAAGTTGTTTCTATTAGATTATATAAAGTGTTATTCTGATCAGCATTAATAATCGTAGAATACGGGTCATTTCTCAAATCTGAAATTGAATACAGTAGAAAACGTTCGTTATCTTAGATCTAGCATCATGGTAATCAGTAAAACCAGATGGAATTTATATGACATGAACGCGCGAACTTCTTTGATTTTTTCATTTTCCCATCAACTTTTGCATGTTAAAAGTGATGTCAGTCAGTCAGTCAGTCAGTCAGTCAGCTACAACGTAGGACCAGGCACATATGTGCATCGGTCCAGGTTGCCATACCTCGTTAGCACAGCAAGATGAACACCGGATTCATGGGAGTGGTTAGGTCAAAGGTGGTAATATATAAGAGAAAGATTGCAATAAGGATATAGTATAGGAAGAAAGAATTAGTTAGTAGAAAGTAAGATATGAAGCGATTTTAATCTCTTAATTTAAGGGAAGACAGGGAGTGTAGGCACCGACGCCATTGTGATCGATTCTGAGCCATTTCACCAAGAGTCTCCAACCATTGGTTACGATAGTCACGCGCACCCCAATCAAGTAGTCTGCATCTACCAACATGGCTCGGACTAGCAGTTAGTGACTTCAAGCACTGATGCCCCTTACTTTCTTCCAACCATCCCCTACACCGGTTAGCATTGCACGTCGTGGTAATCGGTGTTCAGGCATACGTAACACGTGGCCCAACCATCTCAGTCGATGAAGATTCACAACCTCATCAACTGATTTACCATCATTCCTTAATACCCTGCATCTAACCTCACTATTACTTACCCGGTGATCCCAGCAGACGCCAGCAATATTTCTAAGGCATCTGTGGTCAAATTCTAGTAGCTTACGGGTGTCTTCTACTCTTAGAGGCCATGTTTCACTGCCGTAAGATAAGACAGAACGGACTGCCGCACAGTATACTCGTCCTTTTATTGATAGACAGATATCTCGCCTTCGCCAAAGGTGACGTAAGTTGTCAAAAGCCAGACGAGCTTTTCGAATCCGTGCAGAAATTTCGTCCGATTCCAACCCATTAGGGCGCAGGCCAGTCCTGAAGCAAGAACTTGCATTTAGAGAGAGAGAAGCGCATTCCAAACATTCTGGCATTGTTACTTAGTGCTACCAAAAGACTCTGCATTCTGTCAGCGTCTTCACCAAACAGGACTATGTCATCTGCGTATTCTAAGTCGATAAGTGGACCTCCTGGATGGAGATCAATACCCGAGAATTCAGTCGACGAGAATGTTATTTCCATCAATAGGTCTATGATGAAGTTAAACAAAAATGGAGAAAGTGGACATCCTTGACGGACACCACTTGAGGTTGCAAAAGTAGATGGCAGTTCGCCATAAGCTCTCACTCGACTAGTAGTGTTCGAGTAAAGAGCCTTTACAAGGTTTATGTACTTCTGGGGTACGCCTTTCAATGACAGACACTGCCACAGAATCTCGCGGTCTACCGAGTCAAATGCTGCTTTTAAGTCAAGAAAGACCACCATCGTCGGACGCCGATAAGTATGTCTGTGTTCTAGAACCTGACGAATGGTGAATATGTGGTCGATGCAGCCACGACCAGGTCTGAAGCCAGCTTGGTTTTCTCGTGTGTGCAGTTCACGAGTCTTAGTTAGGCGTCTGATTATTATTGAGACTAGTATTTTAGATACTATATTAGTCAAACTAATCTCTCTGTGGTTGTCACAGAATGATTTTGACCCTTTCTTATATATTGGGACGATAAGTGACTGCGACCAGTCAGATGGAATAACATCTAACTCCCAGATCTTAGCTAAAATATTGGTCAACCTAACCGCTAAAATTGGACCACCATCCTTAACGACCTCTGGAGCCAATTCATCTGGACCAACTGCCCTTCTTCGTTTCAGATTAACTATAGCCTTCTCAACTTCATCAAGATTTGGGGGACCTACTTCAATGTTCCATTCACACTGTCTGGTAATGGAAGGTAGTTGTAAAGTAGCTGAAGGCCAGTTGAACTGTTCTCTAAAATGTTCCGCCCATCGTTCTAAACGTCTGGACTGAGAGCAGATGAGAGTATCGTCTTTTTCCGAAATAATCTCACTTACACTTGACTTATTAATTCCAGTTTCTTTTATTAGTCTGTAGAGCTGTCTTGTGTTCCCTATAGTCGCCGCCTTTTCCATCTCTTTTGCTTTCGTTACCCACCACTGCTCACGGTCGTTCCTTAGACTTTTCCTTAACCTAGATCTGATTTGTTGTCGCTCTTCATCATGTTCAGAACCTGATGGGACGAGTTTGCGAGAATCCATCAGTGTGATAGACCTTGAAGAAATCCACTGGTTCTTTGAAAGTCTGTGGTTCAAGTCTCTAATAGATGTCACTGCTGTTTCCACAGCTAATTGTATGCCTTTTCAAGCAACATCTGGATCAGCCTCGTTTTCAGAACTACCTAATTGTGACCTCAGTTGTTCCTGGAACCTACTTTTGGTTTTATCGTTACTCAACTAACTAACGATGTCTCTCCTCATGCTTAAAATTTGTGTTTGCTAAAAATAAACGATTGTCTGAGCATAGTTGCAGCAGATGATCACCATTATCTGTTCGTTGTGTCGGAATACTAAAATACCCCCCTAAATGCCTTTCTGTTCGGTTTAAATTACCTATATGGGCATTAAAGTCACCTGCTACGAGTACAATGTCTGAACATTTAGCTTTCTGAAGAAGTTCAGATAGCTTTCTGTAAAATTCATCCTTCACTTCATCTGAGCTGCAGTCGGTGGGAGCGTAGGCAGAAACGACAAAAAGACAACGACGTGTGTCTCTATCCTTCCGAGTTCTTACGTAGCCGTTTAGCCGAACAGCACATAGACGACTGTTGACGAGGATTCACTCTAACAGTGCTTGTTCCACCCTCATGCTTAGTGCTATCCTTACTCCTGCCAATCCACGAGAGCTGGCCATCGGGTTACCAGATACACGGAGGGTGTGTCTCGTTGGCTCTCCGTTTTGCCGAGGTGAAGTCAAGTGAATGACCACACTGGGATCCTGTATGTGTGTTTTAGAAACACAGCATACATCAATCGTACGAGGTTCTAGGGTTCTAGCCAAGGAAGCCTGTTGACCGATTTGATATAGGGTGGGTACGTTGAAGGCTCCAATGTGTAGTTTGGAGCGAGGTTTCAGTAGACTTGGGACCGTGTTTTGAGCACTAGAACCGTTGGCTATGGTGGCACTTGAGAGGGAAGCCCAAAAAGGAAGTTCAGAGGTGAAATTAGATGTCGGAGGAAGAATAGGAAGTGAAGACGGAGGTTGATTATAAATACAGTGGTCTTGAGTGCTGTTAGAGGTATGAGGGCGGTTATCACTTCCGGGTTGCCCATACCATGGAAGGGTTCTTCTCGAAGTACCTGAAAAGGAAATCGGATTAGAAGTGGTCTTAGTGACTTGGGAGCGTGACCGCAGTGCCCAAGGGACAACTGCATGAGGTCGGTCACACGCGACCTTTTTATGGGTGTTTTGTGTTATCTCCGTTCTTCAAAGGGCCTTACCGGCGGAGACGGATATCCGTGGGATAAGGCGAGGTGTGCATTTTTAGGGTCGACCTTTTCTAACCCCACCCCTCCTTGTGGCAAGGCAGCATCGCTGTTATGCTGGTTGTCTGAAGAAACACCTTACTGCTGTTACACCTCTGTACAGTCAGCAGTACGACTTCGGACCTTGGGTTTGTTGCTTTTAGTCTTACCGCTCTTCAACCGAACTGTCTGACATGGTAGGACCTTGAGGAACGATTGTTCCAGCCAGTATAGCTCGGTTGCTTCATCACGATAGGCAAGCCCGACCACCACGTCAAGGTAACAACAACGGTCAGGGTTAAAAGTGATGATAGAGTCGCTGTCAGGAAAAGTGTCAAAAATTACAGAATTTATTTAGTTTAACAAGAGCGCTAATATATGCCCTTAGAAAAAAAAGACGATGTTAGAGGCACATACATTTATTCATCTTTAGACTAGAAATGGGCGAAAGACGGAACAGTTAAACGACCTAGTTGAAAAGTCAGTGAAGAAGCTAGTGAAAATCAACATAGCATTGCGCATAGTCTTTTAGTCTACGTCATAGTAGTTATAAAATACATCAGTCATTCAAACGAAACACATAGTAATTTATACCGATGGATATTAATTGAGCTGTTCAAGCAATTTAGTGTTGTTTTGTCGTTCCACTTTCCTCATCATGTTAGAATCTCAGTTACACATTAAAAACAATCAGATATATCTATTAGTTACATATGTCTTTGGCCTTAAATTGAAGAGTGTGTTATACTAAATACATAATCATATTATAACTTTAGGTGATCATTCTTTTAACTTAGTTTACTACCAAATCTTACAAGCGAATATTCATTTTGTGCCGAAAAAAAACATAATTTTAGTTGAAGAATATCCATCTGACTGATGAAACTTTCTCAATAGAAAATGGGTTGCTCACTCCAACATTCAAGATTTCCCGATATAGAGCCAGAAAGCTGTATTCTGAAATTATAAACAGATTATGTGACGAAGTTATGGCCACAGAAAATCATAAATAGGATGAGAATTAAAAGCTGTTATACTTGACACGAACGTTATTATATTCATCATATGTTTCTTGTATAACTTCATAACTTTTTGATATGTGATTATTTTCAGAATATCCAGTTATATCATTATTTTTTCTTGCATTCTGGTTTTTATGATGGTCTCTGTTCTGTTTGTTTATTTATTTCTGTTGGGTATTCATATAACTAATAATTCTAGACAATGATGATGATGGCATAAACTGACATTAAATTTGCTGACTTCTGGAATTCTTTTGCTCAAATAATATTATTTCTCTCATTTTTTCGAAGTATTTTTATTTACTTTCTTTTTATTATAGACTTGTATGAAACAAACAATTTTTCGTATTCCTTTTTATCTAATTTCATTATTTGCAAACATTTTTGTCCAATGTTATCTCCCTCCTAAAGTTGTTGTTTATTATTTATATTTTATCTGAAGATATAATTGTAAGCTGAGAAAACTCGACATTTCTCAATTGCCAAAATTCCCCTTAGTTAAGTATCAACTTTGGAAATTCATATTGTCGTAAACGAAGACTCTTAGTTGGGAGGAACATCTTATTGTTTAATGCAAAATTACAGAGTTCTTTGGTAAAATATGAAAATCATACATTAAAAACTACGTTTGCATATCTTTCTTCACTTGTTTCTTGCAAATTTCATCATTTCTGTTGTTATTACGATTACTCTTTTTCATTCGTGTTTTCTATTTTATCTTTTCTACCTTCTGCTGACAGGCATTCCACTTCTGATTGATGCTACATACTACTTATGTACGTCGATATAAGTAGCATACATCACTATACAAGTAGTAAGCCTGAAGGGATTCTTTGAACGTTAGTCTGTAAGTCATATTCTTTATGGGTTGATCTCAGTTGGAATGCCATTGGAAGACAGGGAGAACTGGATAGTTTATCTTTTTTGTTTTGTGACTCCTCATCAGTGAACATCCACAACTCTCACTCTTCAGGATCTTCTGAGAAGTCTTAAGGTGCTCTCTTCGATCCTTGGTACAACTACCCACTGCTGAAGACGACAATACTAGGAGGGAATATCTATCCAGTTCTCACAAATGAGATCAACCCATAATGAACATCATGTGCAAAAATAATAAAAATGGACAAGCTTCTTTGATGGATTCATTCATTCTTTAAGTGATAAGTTTAGCTCTTTAATATCCTTTTTTCTTGTATCGCTTGTCAGTAAATTTCAAACTAGTGGTAATAGAAGAGTTCTCTGGAAATATTAGGATATACAGTTTTGCGAAAGTAATTATCATCGTACTATCAGTACCTAAAAAGCCTTTTGTTTGGAACACATAACTTATCCTAACAGCATACAAATTAACGATATCTAAACAGTAACGTCTATCAAACAGAAAGTGCTTAGTTAACCTGAAGAATATGGATAATTATCTGCGGTATCAAAAACAATGTAGCGAGTAATATGAGATTGAAATGCAAATGATCATTATGAATTATAAATGTATGAAATAAATAATAAAATGCGAACTCGTTTCAGTCACTTTTGAACCATAATATCACACATGCTTATTTCTGTTGATTCCAATTAGAAACTTAAAGACTCCAGCTCAGCTACTTTAGACTTTCCACATGATTCGAATTAGCAACCACAATTCTCCTGGATTGTTTACTTTTAATATTATCTTGGACAAACACTGAATTTCCTAGTTAATATTTTGTAAGCATCTCAGTTCTGGAAAGTTTCTTTAACACTTCTAGTCTATTTATCAAATTACATCAAATACGAGTTGACAATTCTAATTGATTTACATAAAAAAGTTGCAAACATCATCCTTTGTTCCTAATTTTTTCCAAAGGTGAAATAATTCTGTTTGTTTAGTTGCAATAATTAATCTTGATGATTTTTGTCAGACACATTTATATTTGGGGTTCATGTGGGGAATACATATTAAGTTCCCATTCAATTCTACTGACGGACTAGTTGATATATTCTGTTTAAATAAAGCTCAGTAAAAAACGTAATCTGACATTTATTAATTTTAAATGTTGTGGTTGACTCCAAAACTTTGATTCATGACTTGTATAGTGCAGTTATCTGATAAGCTACTATTTCAAAAATGAATATGTTTGTACAACAAAATTATTATCAACTGTATTCTTGCCACTACATTTTAAAAAAAACTAGAGTTACCTTCAGTCTAAAAAGTTATGCAAAACATTCTGCGACTAGTATCTGCATGATAAATTGAAAGCTCCAGTTCAATCACATAAATTAGATAAACTATCAACAACTTCACTAATTCATTTCATTTTCGGCGGTTCATTTCTAGGTAATAGGTTTAATTCTCATCTGATTTTGCAACTTTCATGCAAGGTAACACATTTGGTAATCAATGGTAGCTTCTAATTACATTATGCAATATATATTTTTAATAAAGATTTTCACTCAATCTTACATTTATCATTTGATCGTCGTAAAATATTCCAAGCTTTCTGGATTTACATTTATGATCAAACAAGAGTGGATTTCGCTTAAATTTTCCAATTCATGCATACAGAGTAAACACGAGTTTAAAGATATTTTTCACGGGTTCCTGAAATCTGTAATATTCGAAATTAGCTGAACAACATTATTAAGATATCATTTTTACACTAAAATCCATATTTGTATGAGAAACTCATTTTCATATTTCTAAAGTTTACATGAAACAAATTAAACAAAATACACTCTGACTATATATATATATATATATATATATATATATATATATATATATATATATATATATATATATATATATATATATATATATATATATATATATATATATATATAATCAGAATGTGGGTTTGCGGAGTTTATAGTAATTTCAGTAGTTGAATTCAGCGATCTAAAGGTTAAGCTTTCTCTCGCGAGACCGAAGGTACTGGATTCAATTCTCGCGTGCGGAGTTGTACATGAGCAGTTCTGGGGAGTTCCATGCTAGGACGAAACGACCGTTCAGTGCGTCTACGTTTTTAATGGTGGTCTAGCTTAAATCGACTCATGAATTCAACTAGAAATATATATATATATATGTTTCATCATGACTCAGACTTCATTGTCATACAAATCGCATCCTGTTTACATTCTTTACTGTTCGATCCTCTTGTCTCTCTGCTGCCAGATCTTCTGTTCACGACTAATATCATCTAGTACTTATGTCAATATAAGAAGCACACACCACAATCTTAGTTACAAACGAATACTTGGCCACATTAACGTGCATAAAAAAGTTAACTACGAAGTTAAAAATTATTTGTTGATGAAAAATCTTGATGATACAATTACTTCAATAAAGTTATATTGATGTTTTTTCTCTCTTTTGCACACTGTTTAAATTGAAACAACTTCACGACAACTGATCTTTAAAATGAATATCAGGCTTCAAAGCTAGTCAGTCTTAAAGTTTTAATAACGATCATTTACATGGAATATAAATGATCCAACACAACGCTAAAATCTTTGCTTTACTCAACTCTACCTATATCACTATTTAATCTTGATAAATACATTAAAATAAAGAATAGTTGAATGATTTATATGGTTAGGAATACTTATACGAGCTTTTGATTTCACTTAATAGCTGTTCATAGCAAATAATAAAGAAAAAAAACATGATTACACTTTCTATCTGACAACAAGGTCGTTCGATTTTATCATATTAATTATTAAATACCATTCCACTTTTCACAATCACTGAAACACGAATCTGACAATTTGAATGTAATTACATCACTGTCTGATTCCCAGCATTTTTATTCAGATCACATAATTAGGTTGTTCAAACTGATCTATTTATGGATAAATAAATATTCGATTATAAGTTAATACAAATAATACATATTTAAGTATTATTATTATTAAAATTAGTGATAAACTTTTTATTGATTGAAAACGTACTAGTTTGGAAGTTACGCTTCATAAATTTACATTGTATTACATGGAAAATCATTTAAAGATAGATTTAAATAAACCCCACGATGTCATGTTAATCTAACTTTTGACTTCCTAAAATAACCTACCACATTATTACTCTGAACTTATTGATAAAGATTAAGATTCACTGATCAACCATTTGTGAATATTTTACCATCCATATATTAATCGAAAATTTTTTAAACCATATAGTCAAATGTTGAGTTTAAACTTTGTATCTCATTTTATTTTGTACAACACAGCAAATTATTTAGCGATCTTGAGAATAGGAAATCTGAGTGTTTTTTCTTTAAAAAAAAGAGTAATAAGATGATAGTTTTTACTAGCTATTATATCACTAATTCTGTTACAGAAATACACATAAGAAAACTATAACAAATTGTTATTTATTCTACGATGTGGTGTAGTCATCACTGGTTACTATGACCAATGCAGGGGAACAAAGATAAATATCTATCAACTGATAAGTGCTAAAATGGTCTTCATAAATTCATTTCAACAAACATTTCCCTGTATTGCACGTGTACGTCAAGATGATCAGAGAAAGTTGATGGTTATTACAGTGTAGTATTAATAAAGTTTAGTAAGCGGTACAATGTTTTGATCTGACCAAGTGAAATGTAAGGTGGAAAATCAGGAGAGAACTCATTTCAAATTAATTTCACCATATTTTTAACACCGTTTAGATTACTTAGTCGACGTGTTTACAGTTTTAGTATCAAACAAATATCTTCGTTAGATAGTACTTCGATTAAAGGATAATTTCTTGATGAGCGTCATAAATGTGATTACTTTTTTTATAATTTATGCAAAAGAATCTTCAAATGAAAAAAGATTATTGTCCATGACTAAACAGACAGTAAGATAATTCAATGAAAAGTAGGAAAACGTTTGTAGATTTTACAGGATAAATAACCTTCGGATCGTGACAAAAAATTCGTTGCATATTAATAAAATGTCCAATATGAAACATATAAATGAGTAAACATATTCACTGCAATGTTTGTACGAATTAGTATGGCGATGAATAGAATTCTCAGTTCGTCTCAATACAAAAACTGTAAGTTGAGTCATATTTTTCCATATTGTTCGTTACTTGGTATAATTGATCAACCTACAGAAGCTGACCGAGTCCCCATTAAATAACATAGTTTCGTTTGATAAAATATGAAAAAATTATTGTTGTAAATTAGTTCTTTTGAGATATGTTGAATCACTGTTGTTAATTACTAGTATCCCGTAAACTTCAACTAATTAACGTTCGATAAAGTCTAGACCATTTATTATACGTATATATATCCACAAGTATTAGAAACCTGTTTAACCTGATGTTCAGTATTCAGTAGTAGTGATGTTTATTTGAAATTCATTTAAATCACACCAAGTAACATCAACCGGAAATTTACATGATGTTACATATTCATATCAGGTTGCATGACATAATATTGTAAATAATCGACATTCGTGTTTTATAATATTAATGACATTAATAATAATAGTAACGGTAATAATAATAATAATTATAGTACAACTAACATAAACTAGGCATCAACTGACTCGAAATGTGTTGTATTTTATAATCCAGCTGATAAATATTCCAAGATTATTTAATTATATAAATTGTGTGTTACCAGACATGGTGCCATTTGGTATTTTGAAATTAAATTACCTAATATTAATAAAATTTCTAACAAATATTCAGACGTCTGTATAAATAAGTATTGGCGGAATATTTTAAGAAAATTCTATTCATTTTTAATACATAGAGAATAGTTTATTAACATCTCTTTGACACTAAAAATTAATATCCGGGTGATTTTTTTTAAGAGAAAAAGAGTGGAGATTTTCATGTCACACATCAACAGTAATATTGACCGTCATTGTGATAAGCTAAAAAAAATATAAATTTCCCAACGAAAGCAAGAATCAGTGTGGAAATATTGATTTCCTCGTTTGTTTTTAGATATTTTAAAGCCCAACATTTAGTGATTGACCATGATATGGAATAGATACAAAATGTTGATTTATTCTTAATCACTTTATTTTACCTGGAACCAAGATACCTACAAATCTATTAAAAAATAATTATCCTGTTAAACAGTTTACTTCATTTTATGTCTGTGGAACATGTGTACTCAGAAATACAATTATGAAAAGACGACAGGTATTTAACCATATGGACATCGAGCACTATAAAACACTCTTTGATTACGAGGCTCATTTTGATATGACATTATTCATAAGCGTGGTTTTCGGTTTGGGTTGTTATTTGGTCCCACTTATCTAATGGTGAAGCCCACTCAAATTTTTATGACGTATACAGCAATCTACAAAACAGAACACTTCATAGTATCAAAAATACTGTTGTTATGTATGAGTAAAGATAATAATAAGCCAGTGTTTGCCCCTGAAGAATAACGACAATGTAGCTTCTTCTGAAAAGAATTGATAGTGATGGCTGAACTCCATCCCTTTTTCGTGCTACCGTTTTTTCATATCACTCCACTTAAGTATTCAAAACGTGAATTTCTCAGACGCGAAAAATCCCTTGAGAATATATGTAGTTATCTAACCTTTTTCTAGTTCATTTGAAGTTTCTATTTTTACTTATGAAGTAATAAAAGGTCGAGTTTATTGTCACTTCTCAAAATATTTATACGAAAATTTTAAACTAATCAAGGCAATATGAGTCAATAATCACAATGAAATAGAATAAGTCACTACACATAATAGGTAAAAGTACAAGTTGATAGTAGGAAGACAGGTGAACTGATAATAGTGAGAATAATAAAATACAATAACAAAACTCTTATCAATAGTTAATCTTTGGAAATAGAAGGTCAAATAAACATGGGTAAGTAGACTAGGAATAGTAATCACAAAACATTAAAATCATTACGTAATAAGATATGTGTAAATAATTAGATAGTGAAGAATACAAAGAGGCGGAAAATTACAAACAAATAATGGATGTGGAAATAAGGTTAATGATAACACAAATAAAATAAAATGAATAATGATAATAATAAAAT